TACATTACAACATCTATGTATTGACCACAGTATAATATTTATGTATAACCATTAAATATTTTACGTTAGATCTTATTTAAGCGGTATTTTTATTTCCCATTTGGAAAAGATATATGTGTTTCACTCCCTTAAATTAAAGCAAAAGCATGAAAGATTTTCATGGGAGTTATATAGGTTGTTTGTGTGTTCTCTATTTTGTAAACTACATTTTCTTTTACCTTGCCAAATGCTATATCAAAGGTAATCGTTATTATTTTTTGGTTGTTAGATTCATTAATCTTTTGGTTCATCATTCATCAATGAAAATTACAATACAGATGCCTTTCGATATTGATCTAAGCCAATTCAGTTTAGTTCCAGAAGTTAGTCTAGTCCGAGTTAGTCCAGTGCAATAAATGCACCTTTAGTATAATATTTTATTGCTTGGAGTATACACTTTATTTAAAATTGAACAGAACTATCAGCAGCAACTCCTGTTGCTGGCCAATCACTGATGGACACATGTCCAAGTAATTGATTTTAATCACAAATCAGACACATATTTATCTGTGATTGACTAGCAACAAGAGCTGCTGCTGATTTCTTAGAAGCCAAGTATTGTCCCTTTAAATTTGGTACTCACCCTATTTCTTAAATTTTATTTCAACTTAGGTTTGTGTCAGTAAAAAAATGCCTCTACAGCTTATGTGCGAGTAAAAGCAAAAAGTGTAACGTCATTTTTTTTTTAATAATAAATGATATTATCTACACGAAGGGGTGTAAAAGTTGACTAAGCCTCTCAATGGGTGAGTCATAATAATGTGGTTCAAATTCATATTTGGCAAGAATTGAACCTAAGACTTCTCACTTACAAATGAAGGGAAATACCACTACATTGTAGTACTAAATAGCAACACCACTTTTTTAGTACGTGTTGTATTTTGTGTTCTATATGTGCCCTCATGATGCAAGTTACATTGCATGCTCTACAAGATGTAACAGTATTTCGGGTTAATATTATAAATTTTAGTTAAAATAGTATTTGAGATTGGCATAACTTCTTATTTTGGTTCCTAAGATTTGAAATCAATAGAACTGACTCTTGAGTTTGTCCATCTCAATCACTTTGGTCATTCCGTAAAAACTCTCCGTTGAATAAGAATAAAATGACAAAAATAATTTTTGTCAAGTCATTTTGGCGAAAATTATAGAGTGGTATTGTATCACCACGTTAGCGGTGGTATGTCCACCCAGAATTTGCCATGTATACCACTTATTTACAGTTGGAATAAATATTTATTTTAGACTTACAAAATAAAATTAAAAAAAATGAAAATAATTCGGCAGCCAGGGCTGCCGCTGTTGACTTTCCCTTTCTTCTTCGACCTCTTTCTATCTCTCTACAACTCTCTCTCAAATATCAGGGTCGAAAGGAGTAATGGTAACTTTCAATAGATGAAAACCCTATTGATGATTTTGTGGATTTTGGTGCTGCATTTTGCAATCCAGCGATGGCTTTTGTGGATTTTGGAGATGTTAGGATTACATGTAGGTGAGGCTTTGAAAAAAAAAACAGCAAAATTTGGTTATGTGAAATTGCATTTCTGCCCTATGTTCTGTTTTAATTAGAAGGCTAAACTAGTAATTTCATAGAATTTTGGTTAACAATGAGTGTTTTATTAATTAGTAGAGATATTAAATACCCCAAGCTTACATGAACTTGAACGCTAAAGGTAGAGGATATCAAACCCATCATTTGATGCCAGAATAAAAAGTTAAACACATGGTATAATGTGATTCGGGTGGCATCCTTGGAATGAGGATGCCAAAGTACTATTTTAATCGGGAAGCCACAGTAACAGTATTCCAATTCAATAATAAATTTTCACCTAATTGACTTTGGGTAACCATCATTGTGGAATTGTTGGTTAATTTCCATCAACAACAATGGATGAGAACCTTGACTCGATGATATGAAGATTGAGAAAGGGAAGCACACATAATTACATGTTATATCCCATATCATCCAGGGGAGTGGATCATGTAAGTCCTATATGTATATTCTCATCTCTACCTAGCACGAGGCATTTTGGGAGCTCACTAACTTCGGAGTTCATCGAAACTCCGAAGTTAAGCGAGTTCGCGCGAGAGCAATCCCAGAATGGCCGACCCATTGGAAAGTTCTCGTGTGAGTTCCCAGAAACAAAAATGTGAGGGCGTGGTCGGGACTCAAAGAGGACAATATCGGGTTACGACAGAGACGGGACCCGGGATGTGGTAAAGCCCAGGTCGGGATGTGTCCTTACACCTCAACACCTTTCCTTATGAAAATTCGTTCTTCCTAATATTATTTTAATTCATTTTCTTTCCTTTTTTCTTAAACCGATTTAAGACGTTAAGATTTTAATTTTAAAAATGATTTTTCACTCTATTATACCGTATCTTATTGTCTCTAATTTTGTTTTTGAGTTATGTTATAAAATAATATGTGTGAAAATACTAAATACTTTAGCTTTAAGGTATGGTTTATGTAAAAATTATGATATATTTTTTTATTTAATGATCTAGCGCATAATTTATCACATTTTTTATTATATAAACTTATTTTGTATACATTACAACGTCTATGAATATTGACCAATGTTTATGTGAAGCCAATAATATTTTATGATAGATTTTACTTTAGTGGCACTTTTCTTTCCAATGTGGAAAAGATATCTGAATGATCGGCATGGAGTTAATCAATATTCAAGGAGAAGAACGCTTTGACACTAGCGGCAGGACTAGGTGAGGATCGGTAGAGTGGTACCGATCTTTTCCTATTCCAATTTATTTTATTTGTTTTTTTCTTTGGATTCTTTCTTCATATGTTATTTTATTTGAGTAACTACTGATAAATTTATATATCTTCCAATTTAGGTTTTATGTCCTTAAGGTTCAATTATTTAAACATGAGTTAATGGGTTTTGCAAGGAAAATATATTTTAAAGAACATGAAGATGATAATTTGTTGTTATGGTAAAGAAAATTTAAAAAAAAAAAAAAATTTAAATTGAAAAGGAATGATCGGTATGATAGTAGCGACATTTATGAAAAACTGTTGCTATGCAAATAGCGACTCTCTAACTCATCGTTCGGTATAATGATACCGAACGTACCCTATCTTAATATTTTTTTACTTTTTCCGTTTGATTTTTTTTTTCCTTACGTTACTTTATTTAAGTAACCATTTTTAGGTTTATATCGTTGACTTTTTATATTTAATGATCTAGCTCATAATTTATCACATTTTTTTTTATTAAACCTATCTTGCATACATTACAATGTCTATGTATTGACCAAAATATAATATCTATGTATAACCAGTAAATATTTTACATTAGATCTTATTTAAGGGGTATTTTTATTTCCCATTTGGAAAAGATATCCGAGTTCGACTCCCTATAAAAGCAACACCGTGAAAGATTTTCATGAGAGGTATATAGGTTGCTTGTGTGTTCTCTATTTTGTAAAGTACATTTTCTTTTACCTTGCCAAATGCTATATCAAAGGTAATCATTATTATTTTTCAGTTGTTAGATTCATTAATCTCTTACCATAACACCAAACTATCATCTACATGTATTTTCAGTCTTAAAATTTGAAAACAATATAAATCTAAAGATATTTGAATCTAATAGTGGTTAATCAAATAAAGGAAAGTGGGACAAAAAATTCAAAGAAAAAACGAATAAATAAATAAATTAGAATATGATACGATCAGTATATTAGGACCGAACCACTATGGAAAAAGTCACTATTTCGTAGCGATTGAAAGAAGAAAAATCGCTATTGTCATACCGATCCTATCTTTTCAAAATGTCAAGAGATATTTAAATCTAACAGTGGACTAATATACAATAAAATTTCCATTCTATCCTTTTTTCCAAGGACTAACATAAAAAACTTTTAAAAAAAATTCATAGGCTAAAAGCGTACGAGAAATTCAACGTAGAGAAAAAATCCAAAGGGAATTGCAAAAGCCTTCTTTGAGAAGTAAATCTGGATCTCAATGAAAGCATCAACTTATAGTAGAAAAAGTTCATCATGTGTTGTCATTCAGTTGATCAAAGTGTGTCATCCATTGCATGAAGAAGGAAAGAATTATTCCGATAAATAATATATTGGGATTATCTTGTAGTGTCCATGATTGGATGGGATTCTCATTCATTGCTTGGTTGAGTTAGTCTTCAATTAGAAAAGTTTAAAGATAAGTTTTAGTGATAAAAAATTCAAAGAAAAAACGAAAAAATAAATAAATTAGATTAGGATATAATCGGTGGAATAGTACCGAACTCCTGAATAAAAATTCGCTATGTTTCTAGCGACTACATCATAATAAATCGCTATTGTCATACCGATCCTCTCCTTTCAACATGCCAGCAGATATTTGAATCTAACAGTGGTTACTCTAAAAATCGCTGTTAGATGGAACGGGTGTTGAATCTAACAGTGGTTAATGTAACAGTGATATGATATTTGATTCAGAAATATCAAGAACTGTTAGATGGAACAGGTGTTGAATCTTACAGTGATATGATATTTGAATCATATCATTCAGAAATATCAAGAACCAGATTATCTATTCTATCATTAAGTATCAAGAACCAGATTATCTATTCATATCATTCAGATTTTGAAGAAATATCAAGAACCAGATTATCTAAATATAACTATGTACCATTATATTCCACACTAGCAAAACAACAATTCCATTTTAATTCTATCATGCATATATATTCATTTAACTATCAGTACGATATGTTTTAGTTGCTGAAAATTATTAAGCGACCGGCCTCAAAGTCTTTTGGCAGCACTTAGATTGTCTTGGCTTTAAACCTTGCTTCCACATAATATTCTTTCATCACCACATTTCTATACGTATAAGTTTCTGAAAGTATGTTATAAGCTTTTCAAGTAAATTTGTATGCATGAACTCATCTGGGAATTTGCAGCATACATAGTAACATAGAGTGTCTTCTTCCAGCATCAATTTTATATGCACATGAATATTTAAATGACACTTGGTTGAACGAGTTATAGGTTTTGGGCTGCCCGAGTACCTTGCAAAATTGACCAGACTTGCTCAAATGCCTCGTAAAATCCACAAGCACAATGGAGATTAGACTGTGAAATAGGCTCCATGATGGCTAGAAGACGTGCTATGCGCTACATAAACAATATGCATATCAATATTTATTATTCACATTAATAATTAAGTACTTTTAAAGTTTCGTTTAAGTAATCACCTGATGTGGATCATTTATGTCATGTGGCCGTATGGCAGCAGACCTACGATCAGGGTGATGCACGTATGGATGGGTGATTTTACGATACCATGAGTGGTACCCAGGATCACAATCTGATGGGGCTATAACCTCCCTGCTAAGGTTTTCTGGTCCCAAAAGGTGATATTCACGCCTTTGCCAAATCCCATCAAAGTACGTATGCACAACCTTGTACATTTTTGTATCAGTGCTCCGTTGAACTCGAGAAGGGGTATATGTCATTCGGGGAATTGTCTGAACAAGGCTAAACTGTCGTAGAACCCTATCAACATAATAAGGCTCCACGATATCCACACACTTGAGGAGACCAGTATAGAATGTCATCTTTGGTAAAGAATGATGTCCTCTCTGACCATGATATGGATCCTAGACAACCTCAGTATCATGCATAAAATCAAGTCGTTGTCGCATTGCCTGCAAATGCTGTAATGACAACCCTGCATCCCTTCGTGGGGTCCAACGGTGCACACGCGGCTGATCCTCTAAGTAATGAACGTTAACATGGGGAGTAGCCATCTTGTGAAAATGCTCGTAGATCCATGCCTCTAGTAAAGTCAAATATCCAGAAATTTGCCTACATCCAAGTCTAGAAGCAAGTCCTAATTGCCGATACAAGAACGCTAATCCTGCTGCGCCCCATGCATACCCCCCAACGCTATTCAAGTCCTGTAGAAAATGCAAGTAAATGAGAGATATCTATTCCCTGTTTTATCCGCAAAGAGTGTGCAACCTAATAGATATAATAGGTAACCCCTTGCTGCACGCTCTATAAATTCAGGTGACTCATCATCCGATACTTTGTGAAATCTCTGCCTTAACCATTCAAGTGTAACCGCACTACCACTGAAGCGACCCATCTCAGCTCGTGCCTCATCATTGGTAACTCCTAATGCAGTGACAAATAAATCATGGCACTGACTAGCTAGGACGGAGTTGTCCAATTCATCATCGCAAACAGATACAGAGTTACCATCCACTGGAATTCCTAGTATGTTGGACACATCATCTAATGTGATTGTCAACTCACCAAATGGTAGATGGAAAGTATTTGTCTCGGGTTGCCATCTCTCACAGAATGCGGATACAACAATTTTATTAGATGTCCTGTATGAGCAATCAATAAGCGGTCGCAACCCGGAGCTATCAATATATCTCCAAAACTTGCAGTTAGAAACGGATGGGTCAAATTTCCATGCTTGAAGCTTACAAGTGTGATTGAACACCCTAAGGGGTTCACATTCCTACAGGTACAAATATGAATTACCAATGATCCTCAAAACATATGCATAATATAATGAAGTAAAAATTAGATTAACATCATACCACATTATGCCAAATAGCAGCAGCTACATGACTTGGGAAACTCCTCAGCACCCTCGGATCCTCCGGACTTCCCGGAAATGGATCCTTCAAAATCTTGTCTCCCCATAGAGTCGTTTGAGAATCTATCTGTGCATCATCTGTAGAGGTTTTCCGTTTCCTTTTCGAGGAAGTGGGCCTCTTACCACTAGAACCTTCAGCATCCATATGGACAGTATCCCCGCACTTCCGTCGTATGCAACAACCCAGACGCTGCAAACAACAAAGAAGCCGAAAATTAATCCCCTTCTCTAATTCTCATTCACTGATTCACAAACTCTGATGCAAGCCAATTAACCTCCTGCCCTTCTAATTTCTCCAAAATTGAAACCTTAAGGTGAAAATAAGCGTGACTAAAAGTGCTATTAGGGATAATGTGTTTTAAATCAATTCTTAGTAAAAATGTAAATAAATTATGAAAAATCACTTAAGATGTTTGTTGAAAGCGCTTGTAGACAGTAGACTTACCAATCCAGTCAGTGATGACCAGAGAGAAGACGTGGACCCGCGGAGGTGGTGGCCGGGGGAGACGGAGTGTGGAGGTGGTGGAAGGGATAGGTGGTGGTGGCTGAGGTGCGAAGAAAAAAGGAACAAACGGCGTGTTGGAAATACCAGACCGAGACGTGGTGGTGGACTTGGCGGTGGCTCCGCCAGGAGTCGTCTGGTGGTGGTGCGTGGTGGCCACTGGCTAGGCGACGGAGAAAGCACGGCAAAGTGAAGTGGTGCGCTTCGAAGTCGAGAAAGAGATGTGAAGTGGGAAAGTTCTAGACTTTTAGACAGATTTTGTACAATGAAATGGTCATATTATTTTGTTTCTTGGTCAATACTCAATACAATGGAAAGGACATTAGACCTTAAAAAAAAAAAAAATTAATGAAAATAATTTGAAATTTTTGAGTTTTAACAATAAAAATAAAATAAAAAGTAAAGTGAATAGTATCACGATTAACTTTTTAGTATAAAAATGTGGTTTTTTTTATTAAAGTGAACAGTACCAGAAGTTTTTCGTTAAAGTTCTCTAAAAAAAACAAGAATGATCAATTTCCTCCTAATCCACCAAGTCCGAGGATCCGGCCCCCTAAAATTTGATCTAATGACTGATTCAATGGTCTAGATCCCCGAACAGGAGGAAGGGATCCGAAGATAATCCCTTTTTAAAAATTGGTATTCAGTAATTATACCTCTAGGGTTTTCATTTTTTGAAGATGAAAAAATCACATGTAGGCAGAGTACTTGCTGGCGCATTATATCCATCTTTCTTTTTCAAACTCCATTCAAAGTACAAGAGACAACATAAATTACAAAATGGAAAAGCTGACTGTTCTAGAAAATTATCTAAAAGCTGTTGGCCCGATGCTTGCAGGTGGTGGTGGAAGAGAAGGTGCCGCCGTTACACTGCCAGCAACGTCCTCAGGGAGCAATTTTTTACCCAACCATCACCATTCAAGGAGATAACTCGCACAATGAGGCCACTTGCCGGAGGTTTTGGACTGCTTGTGATAGAATAAAACCCTAGTTAGGATTAACATCGGCTACAAAGTCGATGACCAAACGAAAATTGACAAGATCAGACATGGTAAAGGGGAAATTGCAAGAAAAGTAAATGCAGGAAATGGAAAAGGAAATCAAAGGAAATTCATATCCTCATTCATAGTCACTGTACATCGGGATTTAAATACATCCAAAGATAGTTAAGGTTTAAGATATAAATGGGCCTAATAGTATCACGTATGTAATGGGCCTAATAGCTAATAACAACAATAGCTGGTCTAATTGATCTAATAGAAGCCCAATAGCTTAGAGTCGCATCAAAAATACGGGCAAAACGGGAGGGGAGTACGTAACTAAATCTCTTTTCTTTCCTTGGAAAAAATGCAATTTATATGTGTGTATGTACACGTACTACACGAAAACACGACGAAAGTCTCGTCAGAACTACATGATGGGCAAAAGAATCTATGCATGTATTTCTACACTGACATGCTAGCAACTTCTGGGGTGTTCTCGTTGATCAATCCTTCGTTGAAATGTTCTCTCATAAATTCTACAGCCATAAACGTAAGTGCTGAAGCTGGAATATACCATGTAACCCCTTCGGCCCTCCATACGCTGCGAATTGCATCCAACCAGCCTTTGTACCTAAGGTTCAATACAATATTTGATGGTAACTGGACAACCCTTTTACTCTCTCCGTCTAACTTCGATGCGACGAGTAAAACCATAGACAAGTTTTGAACATGAATATTGTGCGGAACATATCACATATACCAGGTCGGATTAGGGAGGTAATTTCAAAATAATACCAATAAAAGTAACCACAAACAGAACTCATACCTCAAGGTTGATCCTTGTACGTGCAGTCTTGTTTTGATCACATCCAAGGGAGTGGTAAGATATACACTAATGCTTAAAAAAATCAATGCGAGATAAATTACCCTACGGAAAAACACTAATTATTGGACTCAATTTGTCACATCCCGGCCCGGGGCGGATCACTTTTCGGGCCCGCTCCACCACCGTAGCACGATATTGTCCGCTTTGGGCTTACCATTCCCTCACGGTTTTGTTTTTGGGAACTCACGAGCAACTTCCCAGCGAGTCACCCATCATGGGATTGCTCTAGCCCCCTTCTCACTTAACTTCGGAGTTCCTACGGAACCCGAAGCCAGTGAGCTCCCAAAATGCCTCGTGTTAGGTAGAGATGAGAATATACATATAAGGATCACTCCCCTGGGCGATGTGGGATGTCACAATCCACCCCCCTTAGGGGCCCGACGTCCTCGTCGGCACACACGCGACCAGGGTTAGGCTCTAATACCAATTGTCACATCCCGGCCCAGGGCGGATCACTTTCCGGACCGACTCCACCACCGTAACACGATATTGTCCGCTTTGGGCTTACCATTCCCTCACGGTTTTGTTTTTGGGAACTCACGAGCAACTTCCCAGTGGGTCACCCATCATGGGATTGCTCTAGCCCCCTTCTCGCTTAACTTCGGAGTACCTACGGAACCCGAAGCCAGTGAGCTCCCAAAAGGCCTCGTGCTAGGTAAGGATGGGAATATACATTTAAGGATCACTCCCCAGGGCGATGTGGGATGTCACAATCCACCCCCCTTAGGGGCCCGACGTCCTCGTCGGCACACACACGACCAGGGTTAGGCTTTGATACCAATGTCACATCCCGGCCCGGGCCCCCACCACAACCCGAGCCCGATCCACCACCGTAGCACGATATTGTCCGCTTTGGGCCCCGACTACGCCCTCACGGTTTTGTTTCTGGGAACTCACACGAGAACTTCCCGATGGGTCACCCATCCTGGGAGTGCTCTAGCCCCCTTCTCGCTTAACTTCGGAGTTCCTACAGAACCCGAAGCCAGTGAGCTCCCAAAAGGTCTCGTGCTAGGTAAGGATGAGAATATACATTTAAAGATCACACCCCTGGGTGATGTGGGGTGTCACAATCCACCCCCCTTAGGGGCCCGACGTCCTCGTCGGCACACCACGACCAGGGTTAGGCTCTGATACCAAATTGTCACATCCCGGTCCGGGCGGGACCACTTCCCGGGCCCGCTCCACCACCGTAGCACGATATTGTCCGCTTTGGGCTTACCATTCCCTCACGGTTTTGTTTTTGGGAACTCACGAGCAACTTCCCAGCGGGTCACCCATCATGGGATTGCTCTAGCCCCCTTCTCGCTTAACTTCGGAGTTCCTACGGAACCCGAAGCCAGTGAGCTCCCAAAAGGCCTCGTGCTAGGTAGGGATGAGAATATACATATAAGGATCGCTCCCCTGGGCGATGTGGGATGTCACACAATTACAGAATAATGAGGACTTTATTTTATAAGATTTGAGGCTAAAACATGGCTCGACAAGTACTTCGCAGATTCTCATAGTTTAATTAGGACTTTATTTTATATGATATTTTATTATTATTTAGTTTCCTAGTTAGAATAAGAGACCTATGCTTTAGGGTTTGTGCGATGGCTTAGCAAATATATTGCTCGGCCGTTCTTAGTTTTTCCTACGCTTTCTTTTATGTAACTTTCAAGATAGAGAGAATTGCAAGGGTTCTTGGAGATTTTTTACTTTAAGGTGTTTTCAATCATTTTCTTAATAATATTTTCTATGATTTAAATTATGAATATGTGTAACTAATTCCTTTTGCTAGGGCGAAGCCTTGAGCCTTAGCATGAATATGTGATTTTTATTTAATTGCTTATGATTGATTGCATGCGCACTTTGAATTACTAATCACCGTGATTAAAACTATCTAATTGTCTTAATGTCTGATCATCATTAGGATATCTAGAAAAATAATTTAATGCAATTTTGGTCAGAAGGTGCCCTGAAATTGGCGTTGGTTTATTGTGATTAATAATTGTAATTTTACTTAAGATGAACACCACGTTTTAAGATAATTGTGATCAAATTACAATTATTCTATGGATATTAACTTGAAAAGAATAAAAATTTTAACTTGACACAAAAATTAAAAGCCTAAAATGTTATTTCCCACCCCCAAACTTATTTCACACTTTGTCCTCAAGGCGTGGAAAAATAAACAAAAGAAAGAATAAAGAAAAATGATCGACAAACACGACTAACTAATTGAAAGAAACAACGAAAAGTAGACAAAGGAAATAAATAAATAAATGGGTTTTTTGAAATGGGTCCAAAGTAACTAAAAATTGAACCTATTTCAAAAGTCAAAAGTCACTAAAAATTAAACTTATTTCAAAAGATGGTCTATAAAATTAGACCTATTTCAAATTTTTCCATAAATAAATAACAAAACAAAAATAAAAGGAACAAGATTACCCGGAAGGAAATAGACATAGGATCCCGTCTCTTGCCTCGAGCCCAGAGTCAAACGGCTCCATACCGCCTCGTTTCAAAACCCCCTCCTCGGGCAGATAAGGGAAGCTCCAGAGTTGCACACGTGTCGTGCATCCGAGTGGGGAGCATTCTAATATAAAGACTAAAATATGCTCCGTGGCTTTAGAAACCCTAAGCCCTTTCTCCCACATGTCGCAGCTCTGTGTCTCTTTTCTCTCGGACCCCATTTCTCTCTAAAACGAAGAGACTCTCTCGGAGCTCTTCCCATTTTCAAAACTCTCAAGCCCAGTCATCAGTTGGAACCTCCCGTTAAAACAGCGAAATATGTCTGAGAACTATTTTCCTTGATGTGTCTCTGTGGAAGCTTACACTAATGTTCTTCTGTATTAGGTACCCTAGATTCACCAAGAGACTGAAAAGATTGACTCGAATAGTCTCCAAACTCACGGATCTGCAAATTTTTTGAGGTAAAAACCGTAACCCATTTGATTGATTGACTGTGATCTGGTATTTTAATAATAAAACCACTACTGTGACTGAAAAATAACACTCAAATCCAGCGTAGAACCCAGAGAAAACAACCCCTAAGCTGCCGGTCCAGTGGTCCCAGAAGGCAAAATAAACGGCAAATGTCTCGGCCTCTGCAAATCAGGAAGGTAAAGATCTCGTTCTTCTGTTTTCGCTAAGCTCAACATTTACGGGTTCAACTACATTTCATTTATGATGCCATATTTACTGTGTATACACTCCCAAAATGACTTTGTAACAACTGAAAACATACATGCGCTGGAAGAACTTGGATCTCTAAACTGGTAACAACTGCGGACTAAAACATATTTGCTCCCAGAAAAGAATGAAGTAAGCCCTGGATCAGGCCTGCTAAAAAATAGTCATGGGTCCTCTAGCTCATGAATCTGGTTATTCTGTTTGTGTTGTGCAGGGAACCTTCATTCTGGAAGATGGACAAGAGCAAACCAAAGGAAGATGAGTTCGGTCATCACAGATCCCAAACGGCAACTGCAGCGGACGAATCATGGCAAAAGCTTCCACGAACCCCAGATCTGTGCATCTGGGAGGTAAAATTTCGAATCCCTGCAAGTTTAATTGTTGTAGATCTGGTAATAAAAGCTGTACTCAGTTCTGTGGTGTATGGATATGTGATTTAAGTGTGCTCTGCATCCATGCATCGCAAAACTGAGCTGCAGAAAATAACTCCTCAAAATTTATGCCGTGGTACTGGATTTGCAACAATCACCGCCAAACTTGCATCGGTGAATGGCTTCATGTTAACTGCTTTAAATTTTCAGCATAGTTTAGATGTGGTTTATGTTAATGATGACTTGCTGCTGGTTGCATGATTCCAGTATAGGATGCTCTTTATTTTCCATGTATGCAACATGCAATTAACCACTAATTGTGAAAATTAAAAACAGAACTAAAATCGACAGAGTAGATAAAGACAACAACAATTTTTTTGAATTTTTCTATATATATATATATATATGTTTTTGTTTTTTTTTTTGTTATATAAAATTAGATATGTGAATGCCTCCCAATAAATTAAGGAAATAGTTTAGAAAAATTGGGTTGCCTCCCAAAAAGTGCTTTATTTTAAGTCTGTAGCTAGACGTGGCAGAGGTCCGGTGGCTAGATCATTGGTTCCTTCATAGTCAAGACTTGCTTGCACCAAATTTCCCTATGCATGGTTTAAGTTGATGTTTGGTAACCTTAAATGCGAAATCTTTGCTCTCAACCTTGATGTCCACGTTACCATTCTGAAAAACTTTATTAACTAGAAAAGGGCCCTTCCACCGAGACTCCTGTGTCCCTGAAAAAGACTTGAAAACTGAACTTAACAACCACACATTTTTACCAGGCTGTATTTTCTCACAACTTGGATTGCGTGCAACTTTTTATTCTTGCCCTTTAAATTTAGATGGTTTTGGTCAATCTGGTGGCCTGGATAGTTGTCAAACAAAGTTGGTTTTGTTTTTTATTTTTGCACTTCAACCAGCTGAACTTTGTACTGTTGTACTTTACTATCACCCTCACGAATCACATTTTGAGTTTTTATGGGTAGATTGTTAGTTGATGATCTGATCACAAATTTGGCACTAATCTCCCAAGTAGCCGTAGGTGCACTAGGTTGCTGTACCCGTTGTTGAAATTGTGGCTTTGCATGCTGATCTCTATCCCACTTCAAATTAGAATGATCTCTCCAACCTAGGTTGTAAAAATTTGAATACGGGTCATTTCTTTGACGTTGAAAATTATTAAATGCATTAACTTGTTCCGCTGCAAACTCCGGATAAGCAGCTTTATGTGGACGGCTCAAAAAATCATGTGTTGTCATGCAAAACCCCATCAACATAACCATACATGCATCAAGCAAACATTGCATCACAATTTGGCAAAGACAGACTGTATTACTGCCAATAGCCCATAAATGAATAGTTTCACAAAACTATGCAAGGAATTCATCGAAAATTGTGTTAATGAACAAAACGAATGCTAATCTCAAAAGATTGTAAACAAACCTGAAATTGTGGGTAGTCTGCTGCACTAAACAAATTTATGAGCTTCCCTGACTCCACAACGTGATCTATGATGTATGGTGAACCCGTTATCCATTTGACCAAGACCTGGCCTCTTCTTCCATGCATCAGGGCCTTCATGCTATCTAATAATCAACTGTGGTTTTAACAATATCCAAATCTTAGTATTGCAAATACAACACAAGGAAGTAAGCGTAGCAAAAGGATAGAAGGAAATCATCTCAGGCTTAGTGTGATAGAAACATTACAGCTGCAAATCATCTTAAAAGAATTAAAGTTCGACATTTTCTTTCCTTTACTTGTAAAATTCTAAGGGAAGACATAATCAAACCCCACCCACCATCTTCCTATTGAGCCAATGCCAAGGTGATTAAAAACTATCAAAGCAACAACAAACCCATAAGAACCTGCATGCTCATATGCAAGCATTCATAACTAAGCTTTAACAGTCGTCAAGTAACTAGGACATAAAAATACGCCGTTGTAAGAACCTATTTGTTGTCAACATTATATTAGGGTTGCCAACTGATCATCCATATTGGTTTCAACTAACCAACTTCGTATGAAAGGTAAATGCGAAGTTAACCTGTGTTCCTTCAAAATTCTATTGAATGACCTGTCTGCATTTGTTATAAAAGTTACCTAAATTCAAAATTGGAAACATAGTTATTGGTAATTGCTGTCCAAACATCATCGCACTTGAACACCAGAACCAAAATTTATCAAAGGTTTAATACTAGAAAATAGATGTGCATTGTCCCTAGAATACAATTAAAACACGTCATGTTTCGCAGTCACAACATTCAATTGCCTAATAACACGAAATGCAGATTCCATCTTATATTGCCTTGAGCTGAAACTTATTGAGAAATTCCTTAGTGCAGTCAGGACCCCAAAGCAAACCACGCCTCTCAGTCATTCAAAAAAAAGATCGGGATCCATTGATGCATATGACCATAGCACGTCACCACGAATCAAATTTGAACCTTCACATGGAGGATCCAAAATCATTCTTTAAGCCTTGTTTAATTCTTCAAATGTGCCAAGAGACAAAGTACTGCTTAGTTCATGATTGAAAGACATTTTCCTTTTCTTCTTTCCCTTCAATTTCTTGAGAAACTGTTGGCAAAGTATGAAGACAAAGGGGAGGATGTTTACCAAAAATGTCGTGGGTGCTTTAAGTGTCTCCCTTTGCCATCCATTATCGGGAAATATGTATATATAGGTCATGGTGGGTTGTTTCGCATCACACCTCAAGAAATCGAAGGGAAAGAAGAAAATGTCTTTCAATCCTAAATTACACAGTACATTATCTCTTGGCACATTTAAAGAATTAAACAAGGCTCAAAGAATGGTTATAGATCCTCCGTGTGAAGGTGGGTGGGGTTCGATTATGTCTTCCCTTAAAATTTTACAAGTAAAGGAAAAAAAATGTCCAACTTTAATTCTTTTAAGATGCTTTATAGCTGTAATGTTTCTAAACTTCACAAAGGCCTTTGCACTTATGTTTCTATCACACTAAGCCTGAGATGATTTCCTTCTACCCTCTTGTTACGTTTACTTCCTTGTGTTGTATTTACAATACTAAGATTTGGATATTGTTAAAACCACAGTTGATTATTAGATAGCATGAGGGCCCTGATGCATGGAAGAAGAGGCCAGGTCTTGGTCAAATGGATAACGGGTTCACCATAGATCATAGATCACGTTGTGGAGTCAGGGAAGCTCATAACTTTGTTTAGTGCACTAGACTACCCACAATTTCAGATTTGTTTACAATCTTTTGAGATTAGCATTCGTTGTGTTCATTAACACAATTTTCGGTGAATTCCTTGCATATTTTTGTGAAACTATTCATTTATGGGCTGTTGGCAGTAATACAGTCTGCCTTTGCCAAATTGTGCTGCAATGTTTGCTTGATGCATGTATGGTTATGTTGATGGGGTTTTACATGTTTCCCTCTAAGATCGTAAACTCAGTTATCCTAATTGTAACTCAATTACCTTAATTGTTAACTTTGGTAAGTTTTATACGTTTGGAACATTCTTGTAAGCAGAAATAACGACCTTTGTTATCTTGCTTAGTTGAAAGTTCTTTAATTGGATGTTCCACCAAGGAAACTTCTGTACAGAAATCGTTTGTGTAATAGAACAAGAGCATGGAATCAATATAAAGTATATAGATGCAGCGCTTGAAATGTGTTTGTGTGTAAACGCATAGCTGTTGACTTACGGATTTTATCATATAGTTTGTGCACCTTTTTTTCGTGTTCTGTAAATTGACACTAATCTCTTGATGCACATGCAGGCGACGGAAGATAGGTACATAAATAAAGGAGCTTACATCGTTCTAGAACCCCTTACTTTTGATAATCCTGTTATCCGTAGCTTCGAAGAAATCACTCCAAGACCTCAGGTACTGTACTGGTTTTTACTGATCCGAGATTGTACAAGTCCCTGATAAGTTTTTCTTTTCGTATTGGATTTTACTGATCCAAGATTTCATATCTCCATACTTGTGGCTTCCATTGCAGGCAACCCCCTTTTATGATTTTGAAGACTTATCTGATTCTGATCAAGAGTCGGACTCTGGGGCGAGGGAGACTACCCCGTGAAGGCCTCGGTCATCAATCGCCAATCGTACGTTCATGATTTTGTTGCGTCTCTCTATTTTGGAAACTGCATTTTCTTTTGCCTTGCCAAAAGCCATTCCAAAATGTACATGGTTCATCAATGAGATTCAGAAACTTAGTTATGTTTAACCCAAAGAACACAAATTTGACTTACGACGGAGATCCGCAACAAAATCATGAACGTACGATTGGCGATTGATGATTGAGGCCTTCACGGGGTAGTCTCCCTCGCCCCAGAGTCCGACTCTTGATCAGAAACAGATAAGTCTTCAAAATCATAAAAGGGGGGTTGCCTGCAATGGAAGCCACAAGTATGGAGATATGAAATCTTGGATCAGTAAAAGCAAAGTTCAAATGAACATATGGAAGTTAACTGGCTTGATTGAGGTTGGGTAGGGAGTTTAAATTTCTTTCCACAGAACTGCTGCTACTGTTCTGACTACTAAATTGAACCCGAACAAAAATATGTCCGCGCACAGGGGTGACCGCAGCTAATGTCCGCGCGCGGGGGTGACCGTGTTTAATGTCCGTGTGGATCAATATTTTACGGCAAGGTGACCTTTTGTTGGGAGAATACCACACCAATAACCTGGCTGGATTGACCTTTGTGTGTGATTCCCATTTCCAATCTTCATCCCTTGATCATCTTCCTCAAGTTTGATTTCCACAGAAGCTCATCTCCGTACATACATGTGGGATGTCACGGTAAAAACAATTCAAACAAATTACGCATTTTTTTATATAACAAGGCGTGGTTGAATTTGAAATACCGTGACATTCCAATTGCGGGGAAGTTGTTCGCATTGGTCCTAGAATATTTAAAATTCCATTCAAACTCAGATATCAAAGGACAACAACCTGAATATTCAAAGTGCACTTAATTTGGCAACGTTATTACTTAAACAGTTGCTTTCTATCATTTTTATTGGTTTTAGGGTGGAAAGTGAAGCAATTTTCAAGTGTGATGTGCTGTACTAAGGGCTCCATCCGTGTGGGATTGCTTGGTCTCAAACCAATCTTAATGAAGCAAAGGCTTGTTTAAAAGTGTTTTTAAAAAATATGTTTTTTAATTTAAAAAGCACTTGAAGTTCTTCCTCAAACAAACACTAGTTAGGAAGCATTTTAAATGCATTTTCAGAATTCACTTACGTTTTTTTTAAGAATTGGTTTAAAAAACATTTTCACTAAATGTGTTTCAGTGATTATATAAGCACTAGAGTCTACCTTTTATGTTCCTTTGACATAATCTAATCTAATTCTATGTTGTCCTATAAAAGGAGAATACTTTTCTCACCAACTTCAGTTGATGATGATGTTCGTCATCTTATTTATTATCATTAAACAAGTTTAAATTTTAAGTTATATGTAGTGAATAGACACCAATTTCAAATTTAAATTCATCCAACAATGATAAAAATGGTGATGATTATTACCGTCACTAAAGGGTGATGAGCAAAAACACACTTAAAAAAACTTGCATTTCCCCCGACAAAACGAAAGTTTGACAACCTACAACCTTTAGCCAAGTGTGACATGTTTTTGTTTAGTACATCAATATTTTTACATTAAGGGAAGGAGAGTTCGGTTAAACCACACAATAGACTAAAAAAAATGGTTGGTATTTATTTTCATAATTCTATCAAAACGCATGGTTTGATTATCGTTGAAAAGGGCAGTTGTATACAAGAGAAAGGATAGGAAAGCCGACCAATTTATTTTTACCTTTTTTTTTTTTTCTCAAACGATGAAGAAGTTCATGCTTGAAATTTACTATTAAGAGAGGGAATTCGGATATCTTTCTAGGCTCGTTTTGAAGTGCTTTTAAAATAGTTAAAACTGTTTTTGGTGAAATTGATTTTCGGTTTCAAAAATACTTTAAGCGTTTTTTGAAAGAAGTATCAGATAGGTGCTTCATGCATGAAGCACTTAAAATGTCTTTTCAGGGTTCACTTGAATTTTTACTAAGGAGTGATTTAAAAAACATTTTTACCAAAAACGGTTTTAATCATTTAAAAACATTTCCAAACCAAAATCAATAAAGAGAAATATAGAGAAGAAAGATAGATCACTATCTATCACACATCCTATTATCCTTCTTTCTAATTGTTGTAGGCTTCCCGCTAATAAGGAGATTTTCGAAAACTCTTACCATATCATATTATTTCTTCGGCTCATAGTATGATTGAATTGTCCAATTGTAGCCCGACGCGCTGCTCCAATGGCTCGATATGAAAAACGACCAACTCTCCAACTTGTAGCACCATATGTTATAATATGAAAATAGAAAGCATAAGGAAAAATCTCTAAAATATCAATTTTGTTAAAGCATCTCAAACAACCTAACCAATGAGGTTTTATGGCTACTTCTAAAAAATAAAAAATAAATAAAAAAGCTCTAAGGCCATCTCTAACTAAAGGAGGATCAAAAACTCATATCAAACTGAGGGGGCCTAATGATCATGGGTCAAACATAATTTATTATTTTAATTGAATTAATATGGTTATTTAAATTAAACTACCATATTAAAATAAGGTTTTCGAATATTTAAGCTTCTATATTTCTTATCTTTATATAATCTCAATAATTTTTTTGGATAGAATTTCGAGTGACACTTGTCGCTAACGTGAGCAACTCTTCAAATTTCTTATCTTTATGTAATCTCAATAAATTTTCGGATATGATTTCAAGTGACCAGTGTCGCTAAATTGAGCAACTTTCCAGATTTCTTATCTTTACGTAATCTTAATAATTTTTTAGATAGAATTTCGAGTGCCACGTGTCAAAATGTAATTAGTTGTGCAAATTTTAGATAAGATTCTTATTTACGTGACACTTCTTATCTTCAGCTTCCAATGTTAATAAATTGGCTGCATATTGGGGTAGAATTCACACACCTCCAAACACCTTCACTTGTTTGAGAACGACCCTTCACACTATCTTTCGAGACCTATCTATAAGCTATGCAAAGAACTTCATCTTCTTTTCGGGTCCAATCCCTTCATTTCATTGTAGATGTGGCCATTTGAAAATTATTGAGAAAATTAAAGGAAAGATTATTGGAAGATGTAAGAGAATAGAACGTGAAGAATTGAAATAAAATAAGATAAGATAGTATGAAATGGTGAAAAGTATGTGAGAAATGGTATAGGAATGACTTAGGTATTTATAGAAAAAAAAAATTTGTCCAAAAAAAAAATCAATTTCCAACGGTAACCTAATGGCACAATAACGTCAGCTAGCCGTTGCTAGCTAGTGTCATGTTGACGCCAGGTAGCCGTTGACATTCAAATGTGCTGAGCTGATGCCCTGGCAAAATGTCAAGCTTGACATTCTGACGCTGAAGGGCTGGCAAAATGTCAAACTTGACATTCTGGCTTTATAGAGCTGGGCTATAGAGCTGGTAGGCTAGTTGCTCTTGGCCGACCCTTTGGCCGGTTCTCCCATTTTTGGGCGGGTGGGGATCACAAGTCTTTTGGCCTAACTTTCGGTTGGAGACGGTTTTCGTGTTAAAACAGGTTATTTTAGCCCTATGACTCTTTAGCCAGGTCGGTTAAAGATGGCCTAACAGGCTAACTAAATAACAAGCTATCTTGACTTTGTGAACGTTAACTAGCTAAAATTTAGTAGGAGGAGAGAGGGATTTAAAATTATAAAATTACGTAGTTTGTGCGCTTAGGCTTGAGTTGTTAAGTTTAACAAGAAGTAATACAAAAATATTTTAACTTAAGCCAAAATAGTTAGTACCGTTAGAAGTGCTGGCTTGCCAAACATTTGAGTCGTTTGGCTAGATAACAAAAATTTAGTCAATATTGTTGGCGATGCTCAAAACAATTGCGAGAGATGATATTATATTATTATCAGAAAATTAGATTATAAACCAATCGACGCATTTAAATTTCTTTTTAGAAAAAAGGTAAGAAAAAAAAAAATTCCCTGGTTTATCAAAATGTAAAGAAGTTGGGTTTGTGGGGTGTATCGCTGCGTGGATAACAGAGCAAACGGGTGGGTTGGTTATTGTTCCTCCGGAGAATCCAATTTCTTCTTCAAAAGATTCAGAAAATCCCTCTACCAAAAGCTGGGTTTCTCTCAGATTTTCCTCACGAATTCACTGCTTCGTTAAAGTAAGCTTCTTTCTCTCTCCTTTTAATTTTATTTTCTCTCTCCTCCATCGCCAAGAAGACAAGAGCTCCCAGCTGTTTTCACCTTCTTGCCAATGGTGGTCTGTAAAATGGGTTTTCTGCGGCTATAAGAACTTGCTTTCAATTCGGTATAGCTCAGATTTTCGATATTTTGCCATTTCTGGGATATTATTGCGTTTTTGGAGATATTGAGGTTTGTTCTTTGATGAGCTCTCAGTGTAGGTTGCTGACTTGCTGTTAGTAATTGGGTAGGATTTAGATTTTTGGCATTCATCGAAAGTGGTTTCTTGCTTCTCATATGTTGTTGTTCTTGTAGCTCTTGGTTGATTATATTTTGTGATTTTTGAGGAATTTGGCTCTGCAATCGGTTTATTGCTGCAGAAATTGAGGTTTTTTTTTTTTTTTTTTTTGGTTTTTGGACTTGCGTATTAAGCCTATTCACTGTTTTGTTCTTCTTCAGAAGTAGTATCTTTGTTATCTTCCGGATTTTGGATGCTGGGAATTCTGTTCTGTTGAATTTGCGGCAGCTATTTTAACTCCACAAATCTGTGCTTGTTAGTTCAAGTATACATTTTCATAACCGATTGCGCCAAAACTATAAAGGGTTTTTGATACTTAAGTTGGAACATTTCCCTCCCGCAAAGTTGGCAAATTCTTGGTATTGGGTTGTTGGTACTGAGAACTGAAAGAGAGGAAAGTTTTCTTAGTGGAATCTGGCTTTCGGAAAGAGGGAACATATGGACTTGTGGGTTGTTGCAGCAGCTGCAGGCGCCGGATATTTGACTAAGTATTGGCAGAACATATCCAAGAATGGGGACAAAGATGGCTTGTTAAATTTGTCTTTTGGGGATGCAAATCTTGACAAATCTGAATCCTCAAGGCATCCTTTACACAGACTAGGACACAGAAAGAAAGTGGGTGATGATGTTTCTACTGATAGAAAAAAGGCTTCGGATGCTTACTTGTTAGAAAGTTCTTGTGGGACAGACGTGGCTTCTACTAGTGGGTATGATGGTGAAAAGCTGGGAGACTTGGTTAAGTACAAGGATTGCAATGTACTTTCTTTATCACACATGTCACCGGTACACTCGGGAAATGAAAATGAGAATGGGGATGGGGCTTGGATAAGTCATGATATTGATGACAGTACTGGTGCCACATTGCCTAAATCTTCGAGTGGAGAAAGGGGTTCTTATCATGTTCCTCTAAAAAACAAAAGTTCTATTAGAACTAAGCGTTCATATGGGCATTTGATTAAGCCAGTAAATTCCTTAGAGAGTTGCCTTGTGGCTCAGTTATATAAAGAGCGTGCTGAAGAGGAACATGTGCTTACCCTTCCATCACCAGTCTAGTCCAAGTATGAGACCATTGTTTGTGACTGATGGAAACCGAATTATCAGCAAAGCAAGTGGGGATCATTTCAGGTCTCAGATTGGAATCGAGGAAAATAAGCTGCATAAGGAAGACTACTTGGAAACTAATGAAAATGCATGTGGGGTTCCTCCAGAACCAAAACTTGGTTATTTGGATCTGCCCAAGAAGATGAAAATTAAGAGAGGAAAGGGGCGGCATGGAAAATTGAGCAGTGCCAGTAAATTGTTCAATGGAAAACACTTACATTCTGAAGGTAATCCTCTTCTCATATTGTAGGGGTAATTTTATTTTGGGGTAATTCTGAATATTTTCCAGATTTTTCTCAACTAGGTTCCACTTCATAAGGGTAACCTATCTTTATTTTAGACTTTAGAGGCTTTTTAAGTCTGTCTCCTTGCTTAATTTTTTTTTTTTTGTGTCATGTTCTTTCCTTGGCATATTCAATTTCTTAGGAAACATGGTATATATTGAAAGAGGGGAAAATTCGTATTCTCTGGAGTTGTTAGGTTGCTAATCAAGGGAAAAGTCATTTGTTTATATGTTAATGCTCTATTAAGTCAATGTCCCAAATGCATATATGACTCCAATCGTAAAAGCTGAAAATTCTGTTCACCTAATATCCATATTTGTTATACAGTATTTCTAACTTATCTCATTTCATGTCCTAATGCTTTTCCCTTCATCAGGTTCACTGGATGGAGCAGTTCTTCTCTGTCTTGGGATTTCTATTGGCATAATATCTTCTTTGATAGCAAATAAAAGAGAAGTTGACAAGTTGAAAGATTTGTTGAAGCAGACCGAGAACTTGGTTCAGGATCTAGCAGAGGAACTCCAAATGAAAGATTCAGTAACAATGAAGGAAATAGCTAATGAGAATTATGGTGCACAAGATACTTGTTACAGCTCCGTTTTTGATAAGGCACCAAATTCTTTTTCTACTGAACAGAATATGGACAAATATGATGGTAAAAATTCATATAACTGGAAAGCAGAAGAGAGTTCAGAGTCGATGAGTAAAATAGAAGCAGAGCTTGAAGCTGAACTTGAGAGGTTGGGGTTAAACATGAACAGTTCTATTCCGGAGAGAAGATCAATTGATGTTGCTGAGGTCAGTTATGTTTATCTTTGTATTCATATGTTTAAGCAGCACATCTTTACATTTTAGTTTAGCTTTGAATTCTTTGTTGACTGGGTTCAAGTATCTCACTTTAGTAAATATTCGGCCCCTTTCTTATTATGTAAATAATTTTCTGCACTGAAGTTTCAGTTCTAGTATAGTGTCTTTCTAGAACACGAATGCTAATTCCATAGGACCCGTTTATTACTGGCTTTCTATAATTCAAATGCGTTTTTTGGCTTATGTAGTGATCTCATCAGATTCTTTAAGCTCATCAGATTCTTAAGTGCTAACGGAGATGATAATTTGTGCAGCTTGACCCAGACTTAATGGCAGATTTTGCTCAAGGCGAGCTGAGAGCTGACTTGGTTGGTGGGCTATCTGTTGCCCAATCCATGTCAAATGAAGAGGCAAGCAGTACCTCTACGGATTATTACTGTGCAAACTATGCAGTTTCTCCCAGAGAGCTTAGCTTGCGTCTGCATGAAGTTATCCAATCAAGACTAGAAGAACGTGTCCAGGAGCTTGAGGTGTCTCTACAAAACAGCCAAAGGAAGGTCCAACTCGCAGAGTTGAAGCACAAGGATTCTTGGAGAGACTTCTCAGACAATCACATACATTCCAGAATCCATGAGATTACAAATTCTGCAGAAAATTGCAAAACCACGGCAGAGCCTCTAGTCATGAACTTATCGGGAGAAGCTTTAGATGCGTACAACGAGGCTCATGAAGAGTTGATGAAGATCAGTGAATCAGACGAGGAAGATTCACCTTGTCCGATTTTTGAAACATTCAGTGCTCAGAACCAGAGTCAAACTCAAAGTGAAGAGGTGAATGGTTCTGTGGGGAATTTTGCTTTCAGTAAAGAGGAAACCGCAGGTGAAAATTCACCTTGTCAAGTTTTTGAAACATTCAGGCGTCAAAGCCCGGGTCAAATTCAAAGTGATGAATTAGATGGTTCTGTGAATCGTTTTGATTTCAGTAAAGAGGAAACCGTAGGTGATGATCTCCTTTCATTCATGAGCAAAGCAAGTATATCGGATGAGGAGCGCATTTCCAGGGTTCAGCGTTCAAATAAATCATCTGTCAGTGGGGAGAACAGTGATGATTCCGATGCTGAGATGGAGAAACAGTTGATAAGGCAAATTGTGGAGAAGGCCAAGAAAGGTTCTCCGGTAGTCCTGAATGCACAAAGGTGGTTCCGGTCAATTGATGAGAACGAGAGTTGAGTCGAAAACAGGAATGAAGTTTTGCAGTGTATAGATTCATAGAAAATATGAAAATATAGAAAGTGGTTAGGTATTCATTCTGTAGCTAAAGCTAATATGCCATTCATTTGTAACGTCGTTGGTGTTTACCGATTTCCGAAGCTTATCGAGGCTTTTCGTTATTTAATCATCAGAAACTTTTCTCCAATATTTTCAGTTTTATGTACTCTCCTTCCCATTTCTGCCTCGCCTTCCTTGTTTCTGTCCCTTTTTCCCACTTTTATGAGCGAAGTCATAAACAAGTGCAAGGGGAGTTTCCTCCTTTATTACGGGTTTTTGGACGAGCCAGTGCCCTATTCTAAACTACTGTAATACACGGCAAAGAGAGTTTCAAACTTGAGTGCAAGACGGCGGCAAAGAGAGTTTCAAACTTGAGTGCAAGAATTCGGCACGCCGTTTTTCCAACCGTTAACATCCCGGACAGAAATAAACAAGAGCTTGCAAATTTCACTTTCCTTGAACACTTGCTGGATAGATTTGACAAGGTCCTTCAACAAGGGATACATTTCATGAGGGAGAGAACGAGTCAACAGTTAATTCCACAATTCAAGGTCCTTCATTAACAAAGCACACAGAAAGGTGCGTGAAGTTTGTGACAGGCAAATACGGCATAAAATGTAATAAAATGGTTCGGAGAAACGGGGAAGGGAACATGAGAAGGCTGTAACATAAACAAAAAAAATCTACTTGTAGCACTGCCGGAGAAGCTAACAGCCCCTGAAATCTAATAATTATTATCAGGCCCTCTTGGCGAAGTCACCAGCATCATCATCGTCCCTATCGTTTCCTTCCAGTGGATCATCCAGGCCAAAGCCAGTTTTGTTCTCTCCAAATGGAGCACTAGCAGTGCCAAAGCTGTTGTCGCCACCAACACTGAAGTTATCGGCAGTACCAGCACCAAAATTGTTACTATTGCCAAAACCTCCACCGGGAGCATCATAAGCGTTTGCACTTGGATAATTACCAGGACTGTTGTAGCTTCCTTGACCATATCCAGTGTTTCCTCTTCCATAGCTGTCACCTCCGCTGGGTCCATAGTTACCATAATTATTTCCACCACCAGATCCATAACTACTTTGACCGTCACCGTAGTTATTATAGCTGGGGCGAGGCCTGTCAGTAGCATAATTCACCCTTACGCGGCGGCCATGAAGCTCCTACAGAATTTTCAGACAAAATTTAACAGTTGCCAAGGTATAGGAAGTAGCAGTGAGAATACATAAGACGACTATACTAATGCAATTTCATGTGACAAAACAGGTTTTGTATTATTTTAATTCTGCAAAATTGAATGTTGAAAACCTGCTAGTATCAAAGTTTTAAATCCCAGACACTAATTCAGTACTCAAAAATACTCCTCAAAGTACATAGTAAACAAACGAATTCAATAGACCACTATTATCCAATACCATTTAACGAAAATAAGAAAGAATATAATAACAAAACTACCTGCCCATCCAAGGCCTGGATAGCACTAGATGCTTCCTCGCTAGAAGTGAAGGTAATGAATCCAAATCCCCTTGATCTACCACTTTCGCGGTCCATGATGATTCTTGCTGCAACATTTATCAGGTCAATCAGCATCAATCATTTTTTTTTTCATATTTTACAAACAAACTTGTATTGAAACTAAAATGTGAGTTATCATCAGACAATGCAAATGGAAAGATGGAGAAACATGACGTGACAACAGAGGTTCACAATAAAGAAAAATCAAAGGGATCATAACATAAGTGAAGCCCACATCCACACTTCACCAAGCCTCATAAGCATTTGACAGTCATCTGACCCATTTGACAATCCCGTTAAAAGAAAGGCCACTGCAAGTCTGTGTATAATCTAATGCATTTTTGTAATGGCCTTAGCTTATAAAGTCGCACAAGTCTAATTTTGTCTAGAAGTCCCAAAAGTAACACAAGCAAGCTAATTACATACCCTCAACAACTTCCCCATATTTCTGAAAAGCCTCTCTCAGACTCTGGTCATCTGTCTGGTACGAAATACCTGCATTACAAAAGTGGGAGGCATCTTAACACAAATTCAAGCAACATGAGAGGAGGAATATCATATTTGGAAATATTGAAGTCCTGAAATCACCTCCGATGAACAGCTTTGAGCTTGCCATGGATGACATGCATCTTATAGCTTGATGGATGGACAGTTTGAGAGGAGATACTTCAGACCTGATCTGCTTGTTTGCAGTCTGCCTAAGTATGCTCCCAATTTTACTTAAGAAAGCCATCGTAATCACCTAAAGAAAGCACAAGCACACAAGCTTCAATAAACAAATATAAATCATCAACAATCATCCTGTTCTTTAGCACAAGTACCGCAAAGTGGCAGAACACTAAACATGTTATAATCATGTTAACGCAAAGTCGTGATTATGTACTATGCATAAGAAACCTTAATCTAAATTGTGTTTATGTATTACTTAACTAATACATAAGATTAATTAGAGACCTATACAACGATCATCGAAAATAATTTCTTCACCTACTTCTGAAACAAAACAACCCAATAAGAACGTGATGCGATCAAGCAGTTCCGCACTTCAAAAGGGTTACAAAATCACAAAAAACAAAAAAAAATAAAATCTTCTTGGTTCTTAAGAAAGTGTAGGGAAATGTTTCAAATGAAGTTGATTATAAAAACCTATTTCGAAGAATCTCAAGCAGAAAACTTTATTTCCACCCGATATTCGATAAATCGAAAAAGTACAACCCAAAGATTTCCCACCGCAAACACACACAGGTTCTTCCGTTCCGCAGCATCCATAAACCCCACAAATCAAAACTTCACCTTCAAAACACTAGAAACTACAATCACACACGCACAGAGATACATCCACGTACGAATCGTATACAAAACCCCCACATGCAAATATCAAAAACCCTAAATCCCTTCCAAACAAAATAAACAAAAACCCGAATAAAAAAGCAACGAAAAATGGAAACAAAAACCAAATCAAACGGAATATCAAAAGCATCGGAAGCATAACAACAACGGACGTAAGATCGGCGCGAGTGTTCGACGGAGATTTACCTTGTCCGGTTCTCACTCTGTCACTCTGCTCTCAGGAGACCGACTACAAAACCCTAAGCTTTCTGATTTCGAATAGGGTTTATGAGGTAAAGGGGGGAGTTGGATTATATGGAGAGCTCTGGGAGATCTGATCCGTCGAGGTTGGGGCCGAATTTACAGCCGTTGGATTTGAGCCGTGACGTTGAGGGTTTGTGGATGTCCATTGAGCGGTGCTGCCTCCACGTGGACGTTTGTATTTGGGTTGTTTTATGGTTTCTGAGACGGCCAGGCAAGCTATCTTTAGTGAGCCTCAAAATATCTGTGGACGAAGCCCAAAACAACTAAAGCCCATTCAATTTTTTTAGCACGTAAATAATTTTGACGGATATTTACATTAACGTTAAAGTGCAACACGAGTTGAGTTTCAATTAATCGGAGTTTAAATGTAATTAAGCATGTGATACAATCCTATTTTAAACTGTTTTAGTTTTTAACTAATTAACATTATTGTCACTTTTTTGTTTTAGGAATTTTAACTCGATTTTATTTGTATTGTATGATTGACTAAACCATTACAACTGTTTTTTACATGAATATTTCCCCTTCTTTCACGTTCAAAATTATCATTCAAATATTTGCTACTATTAGCAAGGTATGCACCGATAAGCGCTCCCCTCAACTCAAACCCATGGTTTTGATGTAATCGCTTACCCACCTATTCTTCGAAACATGGGTGCAATGAGGTAGCACAATATCTTTGGTCGAGTCACTTATGATCGATTAGGTCAAATTGATTCCCACCTTTTTACGTCAACTATTTGAAAATTATTGACATTAGTCTGTCATTTTGCTTTATGATATAATTGTATTTATCTTCAATTGTAAATGAAACGTTTTATATTTGACACATGTGATGACGGGTTTGATTAAATTATTATCGTTCACTTGTTATGTCTTGGAAGATTTATAATTCAAAGTGAAATATATTATGTAAATTGTAGGAAAATTAGCAAAAAAAAAACTAATGTCATCGTTTGGTTAAACCAGTAAAAAGTCAAAAAGATGTGCGGCTAAGATTGTTTCCCAACGCCATCGACCAGTCCAAGCAGCTCTTCCAACAAAACACCCGAGAAGCATTTCTCAGCCGAACTCTCAGAGCCGCGACCAAATCTCAAATCAAAAATCCCAAATTCCGCCCCAAGATCCGAAATGGATCCGATTATCGAACACCCAATGGCCCAAAACCCAAGACCCCCAACAATTCTCGAATCCCTGGGCGAAGAACTGATCAGAATAATCACTCCGGTCTCCGTCTGTATGCTGCTGGTGGTCCTTCTGGTCACGGTCCTAAACGACGACGCTTCATCCTCGTCGGAGACGGTGAACTCAATCGCCACCATTGCCTACGACGAGACCGCCTCGGACTCCTCCTGGGACAAATTCGTGGGTGCCCTCTTAAACGCCCTCGTTTTTGTCGCCGTCGTCACGGTCGTCACGTTCGTTTTGGTGCTCCTTTTTTACCTCAGATGCACCAGGTTCCTCAAAATCTACATGGGTTTTTCGTCTTTTGTTGTTCTGGGATTCATGGGCGGAGAAGTCGCCTTGTTTTTGATCGAGGACTTTAATGTTCCGGTCGATTCGATTACGTTTGTTTTGGTGTTGTTCAATTTTGCTGTTGTTGGGGTTTTGGCGGTGTTCATGTCGAAAATGGCGATTTTCGTGACGCAGGGCTATTTGGTTGTGATTGGAATGCTGGTTGCTTATTGGTTTACGTTGTTGCCCGAGTGGACAACTTGGGTGCTGTTGGTTGCCATGGCATTGTATGATCTTGCCGCGGTTTTATTACCCGTCGGGCCGTTGAAGTTGTTGGTGGAGCTCGCAATCTCTAGGGATGAGGAGATTCCGGCTCTGGTTTACGAGGCCAGGCCCGTGAATGCTCATGATTCTCAGGGTAATGCGGGTGAGAGGAGGGTTTGGAGAGATAGGAGAAATGAGAATTCGAGTAATGGGAATGAGAATCCCGGGTCAAATTCTAATGTCAATGTCGATCACACTTCAGGTTTGAATTCAAGTTCGAATCTTGGTGAGTTTGGCAATGTTAATAATGATTCGAGTTTGGTTAGAGCCGAAGAGGGGCGGATTCCAGATAGGGGTCAAGAGCTATCTGCCCCATTACTCGAGCGTGTAGCAAATGTTCCGCCTCGCAGGCAGGAAGATGTGGCGAGTGAAAGTTTGTTGCTTGAGGGCATCGGATTGGGGTCCTCCGGTTCAATCAAGCTGGGATTGGGAGACTTCATATTCTACAGTGTTTTAGTCGGGAGGGCAGCAATGTATGATTTTATGACCGTGTATGCGTGTTATCTTGCCATCATAGGTGGCCTTGGAGTTACTCTGGTACTGTTAGCTTTGTATCAGAAAGCTCTGCCCGCTCTTCCCGTTTCAATAATGCTCGGCGTACTGATTTATGTATTGACACGGCTCTTACTCGAAGTTTTCGTTGTACAATGTTCTTTGAACCTCATTATGTTCTAGAAGTGGAAGTTTTATTGCAGAAGATTGACAGGCAGCTGCAGAATGTATATGAAGCATCGGAGCATACTATGTGACACCGATGATTTCTCGTTGCAACCGGTGTATTTCTTTTCTGTGAACTGGTTGCACGTCCGGAATCTACATTGTTTCGTAAAGTTCATTTCAAATAGGGTAAGATTGTGATTTTGAAGTTCCATTGGAGTCCGACAACTGCAAGTTTGGGAGACGGGAGGACGGCGTTTGCATCGGAGCATCGGAGGAAGCCGGAAGGCCTACATATGTTTGTACCAATAACATTAAATGTTTGATTGTTTGTTTCAGCTAGATTCAGTTGCATATTGAAATCGATGTTCATTGTACCTAGCACATAATAAACAAAATAATTAAAACGAATTCGGCCTCGTATTAAAATGACCGAGCACATTCCTCCTTCGGGTACAAGAATATAGCCAGAACGGAGTTTGATCATTCAGAACATCATCGGAATGTCGAACATTAATACAAAGACGTTCGTGGCTCGGCGAGGGTTCATGAAAACTAGGTTTTATGATTGTTTTGGTACAATTTGAAAAATCGACTAAAAACCGTGAGTAATTTTCTTGACTTCTTTTCGCAAAACGCCCGATTGTTGGATTTTGCCAAAACCTTTTTCTTGCCGGAAAATAGTTTACGCTATTTGAAGGCGGTCTCGCTATTTATCTTCCCACATAAGCGTTGTTTATTGAATTTTTGGACTTAAAAACATAAAAATATAATAGGAAATACTAGCAAGGACCCAACAGGATCCTCTCCGAATCCTTTTGGTGAGGATATCGTCAATTGTATCCGTTCATCATACATTGTGAACGGATATGTTTCACGAATCTCTGGAATCCTAACAAGAGAATCCGGCGAGGATCCAGATTCAACGAGGACTAGATCATAGCCAAATCAACTTTAGGGTGACCGTCACGCCTAAAATATTTCTCTAAACGACGTCGTTAAGGAGACATATTTGAAGATTGTTGTGCCTACTTGCTCCAACTCCCGCCAGGACAAAAAGGGCAAATACAGCCTTGGCTGCAAGAAATTAGTTAAGATGAGGACGCGCTCGGCAAATTAAGTTTGTCATTAGATGGAAAATAGAGAGAGAAAGTAGAGAGAGAAAGAAACCCCAAGTCTAAGCAACGGCCTTCTAATCCTCCTCCTCTGGTTTCTCTCGCTCATCCCCTTGTCAGTTTCATTTTTCGGGTTTTCGATTTTGTTGTTTTCTTGAATTTTCGGTCTTACCCCACCATTGCTCGTAGGTTGGCATCGATGCGAAACTGAGCCTGCTGATTTTCAGGCCGGTAAGGAATCGTCGTCGATTTTTCAAAGGCCGGAAGGTTGGCAGTCTCTCTAAGGGCACGTTCATTGGCATTTGGTTTTGCATGTAAGTTTAAAGTTTTCTAACGTGTCCTTGTTTTTAATCTCGAATTCAAATTTCATGAACGATAATTGCTGAGGTCTTTCCGGATCATGTTGAGCATGCAATTCGAATTTTCAATTTAGAACACATGTATGAATGTGTTCAAATCTTAGGGCCAACGATCGTGGAACACATTGTGATTTATGGTTCATATCGAATCTATGGATTCGAGGTTTAATGTCTCTAACAAAAAAATGAAAACCAAAAACGAAATGGTTACTGGACGAGCCTACTTTTTTCGCACATTGTTGTCCTTGTGTTTCTGTTTCGTTTTTTTATTCCCAGAAACCTGATGGTTTTGGACTGCAGGAGGCAGAACCAAGACAATTTTTAGTTATGGGATCGGCAGATGAGGGAAAAAGGTTAAGCCCTTCCTCCTCTTCCCCATCCGCCTCGTTACCAACATTTTCGGACACTCTCCACCCAGCGTCCACCACGGAAACAGCCCCCAAAACCACAACGACCTTGCAACAACCTGATCAGGACAACAATGTTGTGGAAACTTCGGATCCTGGATTCAATCAGACAACATTACCAGGTGTGGAACATGGAGATGGAACAAGAGACAGCGATACGAGGAAAAGCCCTGCAGCTACAACTCCCTGTGGAGTTGATATTGCAGGCAAAGGAAGCAGCGGGTCAGGCAGATTAGACCCGTCCAATCAGTTGAATGAGTTGAGGACGGATCCAATTACCGCTCTAGGCGAAGCTAACACTTCTACCGTAGGAGAAAATTTAAGTTACTCTCAGGTATCTGATTGTTCCGAAGCCTTTGAATTGGGTGCAAATGCAGCCACTGACGAGGATTTTGCCGCCTATGCGGGCACAGAGCCCGCACAGGACGTGCAACCTAATGATGGACTAGAAGGGTCACATTCTCAACCAACAGTTGATGCAAGCGGTTCAGCAACACAATCTCCGCCAACGCAGGTGATGGAGAGGCCAGGCGACCCTGCCTCCTCACCGTATAGGATTCCGGATTACGTGTTTGCTAGGAACAAATCAACATCCCCAATGGAATGGAGCCCCGCTTCCAACGAGTCATTGTTCAGCATTCAGATGGGAAATATGAGTTTTACCAGAGACGAGATTAACTGGCTGTGTAAATCCGGTGAATTGGGCTTACCTGGTGAGGTAAGTTACTTGCCTAGTGGTCCATGCAGCATTGACTTCACAAGCAACCAGCCACCGGCTAAGCAAACGGCGCAATCAGCAGAGAATGCTTCCGATAAGAAAGGCAATGTGAAGGAGGAGCCGAGTCTGAGGGCAACCGAAGCAAAAGCTGTGGAAACCATGAGAGAAGTTATAAGGGAAAATGCAGAAAGTCGTGAGAAGGAGAAGGCACCCATCGCGGGCGAGGGCGGCAAGTATCATTCGGCTTGCCTCTCTCATGTTTCGGATGGAAGTACAAAATCTTTTGCATTCCCAATGTAAGTTGCTGGTAAATGTTAGCAAAATTGAAGGTTAAAACATGATTTTAGTCTATGAAGTGTTCACAAAGTTACACTTGCCACTGCATTTTACGTCGAATCAGGTCTTGTAGTTGCAAACTGTTCCGACTTCAGGACATTCGTCATGTTGATTTCTTGTCCAAAGTCCGTCAAATTTACCTTCCTGTGTAACGCGTATGTGACGGATTGGTACAAGGAATTAACAGAAGTTGATGAGTGTCCTCGCGTTGGAACAAATTGCAAACTATAGGGATCAAGTTTGACGCAATCCGAAATACTGGTAGAAATGGAACTTTGTGCAGACTACAAGGACTAACAATGTGTCTCGAACAATGATGGGATTAGCTTGAAATACTGTCGTTTGAACAATCTCATACGAACAAATACCTACTTGCATTGTAACTATGTATTTTTGCTCATTTGCATGTTGAGCAAACATCTGAACATTTTTCTGTTCCATGAAGATTGGCAGGGGACGGAGACATAAATGTGTCGCTACGGGGAGAAGGAGCGAAACACAAGCACCAACCGGGGTCAAAGCCACCGTCGCAGCGACAATCGCGGTCGCAGACGCTAGAAGAAACACCGGAAGCATCGTCTCAGGCCTCAAAACCAACCCCAATTGAACCCAAGTGCAGATGGGGGCTGTCTTGCTTATCTTGTTGCCCATCATGCTGTACTTAGCGAGAGTGGGGAATTCAGAATTTGAATGTTGGGGTCTCAATGGTAAAGGTCTAAGTTTTTTAAGATAGAAACATAGCTCGAGCGCAAACAAACTTCAGTTCACCCATGGAGGCATTTCATGGAACATTTGATGGGCTTGTTGCCTAGCAGTGTCACATACACCAACATATATCGACATTTGCGAAAGCAATTGACGAGTGCTGTCGAGAGTAATTATCGAGTGTTGTTGACGTAACTTGATTGCTATCGAGATATGCCTAGCATGGATTACATCAAACACTTAGTGGGCACAAAAGGGGCTCATACCATACATTCGGAGTGTCCTGAAAACCTTCACGTGATTATTTTCTAGCATCCAAGTGGTCTCAAAGTGGTCCTGATACCACTTTGGTCCCAATGTACATCCGTCCTATTGCTTAGAGGGTAAAGTTATTAACACTTGCAACAAAAAGAATTGAAAAAAAAAAGGACAAAAAAAAAATTCTAGATTAGGAGTTTATCTCTTGTTGTTGTACATTATATATGGTTACACGCATTCACTTATTATTTTCTCTCCTTGGAGTTGTATGTGAGGTTAGCTTGTTTTTTTTGCATTAATAGCGATTAATTAAACTAATTATTTAGGTATTTCCAATAGGGAAAGTAAATATTTAATCCATGTTAATGCAAGACTTCATCATGTTCCAATTTATTGTGTTATTTTCTTGTAAATTCACATGGACGATTACATACATTTGATTTGGCAAAAATAGTTAACATACCTGCGTTTTTTTGTTTAACAAGAGATGATCTTATAGCGACTTTGTTACAGTAGTCCACATTTTTGGAAGCCGATAAGGCTCAAAGGCATTTCAGCCATTCTCTTAATCACCTCGTGTGATTCACACAACATCAAGAATCAAACTCAAGACGTACCGTGTGAAAAATGTACCTGAAATTTTACCATTAAGACATCCCGTGGTGGCTAATGTACATGTGTTTAGTGTCAGCATGTATGCAAAGACTCGTTAATTATGAGGAGCCAAATAGTATTCCTAACAATATTCATGTTGTAATTTACCAAAAACAAAAAGATGAGTCATGTCAAAACAAAATTTCATTAACATATACGGTACAACTTTAATGCTGTAAACATTTTCATCATGCAAGGCAAAATCACTTATTTATTTCTTAAAACTAACAAAATGGACAAAAGTGAAACAAATATGAAAGTTTGAGATCTACAGGTATCTGTAACTAAATTAGAGGTTTAAGCTAGTCAATTCCAATAAAACTCCGCAGATGGAGCTTTATCCTTCCTCACAATTTTGGAGGCGGATCTGTTACACAATTTTTTTTTATACAATTTTTGGCACGAGTTTTTATACGACCCACTCTGTAATATAGTTCAACGATATGAACTGTCTATTTTTTAGAACATCATTCACAGATCATCTTTATAAAAAATTAGACATATCCAAATCCATTAAAAACATTTATTGGTAATGAAGAAAATAGACGAATACGTTTCTACAAAGAAACTCTAAACCCTTAGTCCAACAATCATATGATTTCAGATTTGGATGATTTTTAGTAGACATAATATTTGAGAAAAGATTTAAAATGTAAACAATTCAGATCGTTGAAATACACTACAACTTAGACCCCAATTTTTTTTGTAAAATATTATATAAAAAAAAGAGATGCCTCGGATCTGTCTCATTACTCATTTAACAAAATTTCAATAAAACTCTAATTATCTTTTGGATCCCGTTGTCCAGAAAGGCCCACAATATTTCAGTAACCCAAGCCCGTTAGCAGCAAAACAACGGGAGGGTAAAATGGTAAAAGAACGAAACGAAATCTAACCGGCGGGGGCGCCAAAAAATCCAAACCAAAAACCCTCGAAACCCGAAATTGGCGCCAAAACACGTAAACATTTTTTGGAAGCCTTGCGGGAAATAAAAACGATTTCAAAAAGTCTCCCGCCGGAATAAAGTCGTACAAAAACCCCCGACTCCAACACGCAGGCGCTCTCATATCACCATCTCTCCGCCTCCATACATTTTTAGAGAGAGAGAGAGAGAGAGAGAGAGAGAGAATGGCGAAGTTAGGGCCGACCCCAGATGCGATTTCGACCATCTTGGCGAACAAGTCGCCGGACGAGTCCGTTGAGCTGCCGGAGATCGTGGTTCAGGTCTGCGATCTCAGCCCCAGGGGCAAGTCTTTCATGTGAGCTTTTCTCTTTCTTTTTGTTTTTCCTTTTTTCATTTCATTTGTTTCTGGGTTTTTAGAGATCCCTCTTTAGATCTGGATCTGGTTACTTTCTTCAATTTTTGGAAATTTAAGTTTTGGGTTTTCTGAAGTGATTTGTGATGGGTTTGGATTGTGAAAATTTTGGGTGTGATCGAGGTTCTTGTGTTTTGGAACTTGGTGTTCTAGGTTTACTGCTACTGATGGAACTGCGAAGCTAAAGGGGATGCTCTCCTCGCGGCTGGGCCCCCAGGTCACCTCTGGGGAGATTCAGAATCTGGGTCTCATTCGCGTTTTGGGTTACTCTGTTAATTTCAATTCGAACTTGTCTGAAAAGTAAGCGATTCAATCTCTCTCTCTCTCTCTCTCTCTCTCTCTCTCCCTCTTTTGAAATGTTGGGAATGGAATGTTGAAGTTTTGTTTTGTTGTTTTCAGCTATCTGCTTGTAACAAAATGTGAGGTGGTTTCACCTGCGCTTGAGGCAGAGGTGAAAAATGAGGTCAAAAGGGAAGATGTTGGGATTATATTGAATCCCAAGCAAGAAATAGTTTCAGAATCTGCTGCCCAAATTGTGCATGAGCAGGCTGGGAAGGTAAAAAAGGAAGATGTTGGGGTTATATTGAAGCCCAAGCAAGAAATGGTTTCAAAATCTGCTGCCCAAATTGTGCATGAGCAGGCTGGGAAGTAAGTGTTTTGGTTTTGCTGCCAATCAGTTGTGACTGTGTATTTGAATTTATGATTGTGTTTGTTGATAGTTTGATTTTGTATGTATTGATTTCAGTATGGCTCCGTCTGCGAGAATGGCTATGACACGAAGGGTTCACCCGCTTGTTTCCTTGAACCCTTACCAAGGAAATTGGACCATAAAGGTTCGTGTTACAAACAAGGGTACCATGCGTACATACAATAATGCTAGAGGTGAAGGTTGCGTCTTCAATGTGGAGTTAACGGATCAAGATGTAAGCCAAAGACTCATTTGGTTTTGTTGGCTTTCTTATAGTTTCCCAAAAATAATGGCTTAACGTATGCGGTGTAGTGATTCTTATGTAGTGTTACTTGTTTATGTTGGTTTAGGGTACACAAATTCAAGCAACAATGTTCAATGAAGCTGCAAAGAAGTTCTTTGAGAAGTTTGAGTTAGGGAAGGTTTATTACATTTCAAAGGGATCTCTGAGGGTTGCTAACAAGCAGTTTAAGACGGTGCAAAATGATTATGAAATGACTTTGAATGAGTATTCTGAGGTGGAAGAAGCTAGCAATGAAGCAGCTTTTGTTCCTGAAATAAAATTCAATTTTGTGCCCATCGATATGTTGGGTCCCCATGTTAATGGAAAGGAGCTTGTGGGTAAGCAGCCACTCCTCGAATCTGTTTTGATGTGTATTTTCTGCTTTCTCAATTACTCATATCTGCTTTATATCTCAGATGTTATTGGGGTTGTTCAAAATGTGTCTCCTACAATGAGCATTAGAAGGAAGAGCAACAATGAGAGTATTCCGAAGCGTGATATCACCATTGCTGATGAAACGTACGCTTATGGAACTTCTTGTTCAGTAACTGACTACAATTGCCATATGTTAATACTGTACATTGAATCAATTTGTATCTGAACTGCAGAAAGAAGACAGTTGTGGTTTCTTTATGGGGTGAGCTTGCAACTGGTGTAGGCCAGGAATTGCTTGACATTGCTGATCAATCTCCCATAGTCGCTATCAAGTCCCTCAAAGTTGGAGACTTCCAAGGTGGCCTAAAAGTTTATATGACAGTTAAAATAATTATGCATTACTGAACCAACATGAACACTCAAAGTTCCTGATATTAATGTACTCTTTTATATATTGTTGCAGGTGTATCATTGTCAACATTGAGCAGGAGCACAATACTAGTTAATCCAGAGTTGCCTGAAGCACAGAAGTTGAGGTCCTGGTAAGTTATTTTTCATTGGGGTTTTACCTTCTCTTTCTTTATCTCCATGTGTTATCTGTGATTACGTTTTCTTGTAACCGAAAAAAAAATGATCAAATTGCCTTAATTGTCAGGTATGATTCTGAAGGCAAAGGATCTTCATTGGCCTCCATTGGCTCTGGTATGAACCCAGCCAAGAATGGAGGAAGGTCCATGTACTCTGACAGAGTCACCCTGTCTCATATATCCGAAGACCCGTCCTTGGGTGAGGATAAGGTATAACCACTTTATCCATGGCTCTTAATTACATAAGAATCTTTATTTCAATAGAATTGATGTACTGAATATTTTCTTTTTGTCCTATGCAGCCTGTGTTTTTCAGTGTTAAAGCGTTCATAAGTTCGATCAGGCCTGATCAGACAATGTGGTACCGTGCTTGCAAAACTTGTAACAAGAAAGTGACTGAAGCTATTGGGTCTGGTTATTGGTGTGAAGGGTGCCAGAAAAACGATGAAGAATGCAGTCTAAGGTAAAATACAGTTTGATATTTCATGATAAGGATGCTATTGGCGTTTTTATACAGATTCCCAACTTCTCATATCCATTTTGTTCTCTTTCCAGGTATATATTAGTTGCAAGAGTTGCTGATGTAAGTGGGGAAACGTATCTTTCTCTTTTCAATGAAGAAGCTGAGAGGGTCCTTGGGTGCTCTGCAGATGAACTGGACAAATTGAAATCAAAGGTACATCTTTACAATTCAATTCAGTGTGCTTATTACACATGATTAACTCAACCATGAAATATTAGCAGCTGGTTTCTGATTTTTATAACTTTTACATTTTGTTTCAGGATGGAGACGAGAATGAATTCCAACAGAAGCTGAAAGAAGCAACTTGGGTTCCTCATCTTTTTAGGGTCAGTGTTACTCTGAATGAGTACAATAACGAGAAGCGGAAGAGGATAACTGCCAGGGCAGTTGCTCCAGTTGATTTTGCTGCTGAATCTAGGTTTTTGCTTGAAGACATATCGAAGATGAAGGCGTCATAAGTTAATGATTTAGAAGGATGAAGGATGAAGAATGAAAATGTTATCTAGGCAGATCTAACTTTAATCTCTCTGGCTTAGGTTTTGTATGTGATTTTCAGATCAGTACAGGTGGTTTTTGTTGCATTCCAGAAAAATGCCTGATAGTGTTTATCTAGTTGTATAAATGCACTTCTTTTATAATCCTTTGTGTGATTCACATTTTTTTATGGATGCTGATAAGTTTGGTATGAATGATTTATTGACTAAAAGCGATATTACTACTTTAAACTAGACTAGAATGAAGGGTTTGAACTCGGGATGGGACATTGGGTTGAAGAGGAAGATTTTATCGTCCACTTGGATTAGAAATTGTAAGTTTCACTCGACTATGGTCTAAAAGGTTTCAACTTTTGCACGCCCAAATCAAATCCGAAGTTAGAAATTCTGCAATCTGATGATTTTGAACAAATATGATTGAAATATCCAAGAACGAAATTTAAAGATGAAATATCCAAGAACGTCACTAAATTGCTTTAACTTGGGATGAAAGTAGACTAATGGCAAGATACTAATTGAACTGAGAAACGAAACGAAAAACGATCTCCTCTAAATGAATTTTACAGGGTTGTAGTCTCCAGAAATTGCACTTACGTAGTTTAACAAGCTTAAATGATACCTAAAATGTACTTTCGATCTCACGCCTTCTTGTAGGAAGAGACCATTGATGCTATTTTGTGCAATAAACTTGATGCATTCTTGTCATTGAAGGAGGTCCACTCTTGAAAGTTATGTAGGCTTCCTGTGAAGTCTGTAAAAAGTCCATCGACACCAATCTCGTTAATCCAGTAATTGTACTCTGCGTATGGATCTTGATGAAAGTTCAAGTGCAGGAATGAGTTCTCGTTTCTGTATGTGTAGGGGTGCACCTGCATTGGAATTGAAGGAGATGTAAGAACACGATTCACAGGAATTACGTCCATGCATCTGCAGCATTCGTATTTCAGAAGATAAATCACAGAAAACCAACGTGGGTTCCTCATATTTTTAGGGTGGGTTTTCAACACGATGTATCTAAGAGACACCTTGGTTCACCCCATCTACATTATTATACGTATCTTACAATCCATAACAAGGTTTTGTGCCTGAACAGCTACAAATTAGTCTCTTACAAAAGAAAATATTTATCTTTTGTTCTGTTCTACAGTCATTCAACCTTCTACTAGTAGCTCTCGTCCAGCATGTTACCATATTTAGGCTTCTCAAATTATAGCAGAGACAACAATGACGCCAGTGGTCAACGAAACAGGACCCGATTACCCCAAATCAAACAGACAAGTGTTTGCAGAGAAGAAATCTACCTGTAGGTCATGTGCATGGGCTCTGGAGACCAAATCGGTAGGTGTTTGCGAATAATTGTTTACTACAGGAACTATAGTATCTTTCCACGGTCCAATGCCCACCACATAATCTTAATGTAGTCAAGGTAAGGATCCGAAGTAATTTCCCAATAGGACTGCACATCAGAGATTTGAGGTCAGTCAGCGAGAAATACAAATACTGAAAAGTCAAAGGAAGAACTATAGTGTGTAAGTAGTCTACGGGGAGATAAACGCTAGAAAGAACACAAACCTGATTAGTGTCTTGCGTTAGATTAGTAACATCGTCAATTAAGAAGATCTTGGGCAAGTCTGTCAGATTTGATACGTATACAAGTGAAGTTGGAGCAAATGACTGGATAAACGCAGGTTGTTTCAACCAATCTTTTGATAGGTATGAACCCTTGTATCCGTACTTCTTAAGTGTCTCCACAAATTTGTCCTCAAACCTCTTACCATCTGCCCACTTCACCTGTCATAAATTAAAACATCAGGTACGTGTTGTACAAAAGAGAAAGATATCCATCAGATTCAGCACCCGAAATGGTGGCAGAGATTCCATGTCCTGATGCTTTCTTACACAATTAGTAAGTGCGAAACTTGAGTTGTTTCCATCCGTTAATAAAAAAACTCTAGAACTAGACCGTGACAGATTAGAATAAAATAAAAAAATGCGAATCACATTCTGTGAAACCATTATTTGTGGTAGCTTTCAGGATACTTACATGTTGGTTGATCAATACTGGATTTTTAATCTCCGGATATATTCCAACAACTCTGGGTGCGTCCAGTGCGATTGAAATGTACTCTTCAAAAGTAATAATCGGATATTTTCCTGAGGAATGCATCAGAGAAGTATATCTCAACCATCCTTATATTTCCATCTATATAAATGAATATCTTTTACTCAGAATTCGGAAACAAAACATATGCTTTTTAATGCAAAAAATTACGTAAGTGTAGCAATATTACATTACATATAGCACGTTCTATACAACGACCTAGGGAATTAGCACTGTGAGTCAAGTGGTGAGATGCGTCACAGTAAAGCTTAAGCACATGGTCTATCTAAATGCTCGATCAAGCTCAAAACATAAGCTAACAATATAGCGCTCGCATGATTTTAAAGCCACAAGATAAAGCTATTAATGGTTAGAAATCTGATACTGGGATAAGGTCTCTATCATCAAATAGTCAGTAACAGAAAGTAATAAAAGATGCATGCTAAAATTAAGAGTTATTTACCGAGATAGGTACTCACCATTATATTGTTGATCCCGAAATGGGTATCTCTGCTTCACTCGTAATGACTTCAGTTCTTTTAGTGTAAAATCAACTGCATACAGGTTAAAGTAACTTTTAATTTCGCAGTTGGCGATAAAGACATCACAAAAAGTAAAGATAGAAGTATAAGAATTTTGGGAGTTGTGGTAAACTAACAAAACTTATCATTTGGGTGTTCAACCGTCACTTAGAAGATGGGATGTACAAAGATACCCATCAACACAATGCGATCAATGTTCAGTGAGACTAACGATTTAAAAAAGTGTTGCAAGCAGAAGGGCTTCACATACCAGTAAAAAAACCGGTTGTGTTGAACCCTTGAACTTCATAGGTTCTTTTACGATCTGCAAAGTCCTTGTGTTCGCCAACATCAGTTGTATCATCAAGGGTCACATCATGAAAGCATATAAGAACACCGTCTTTAGAAGATAAGATATCCGTTTCAATGAAGTCTGCACCCTCTTCAATAGCTCTCTGCAAGAATGAATGTTTTAGTACCCGTGTACTGGGAACAGCTTTTCATCAAGTGAATGAAGTTTAATGAAACACATACAATATGTAACTATGCCCATATTTAGTGAATTATTACCATGTATGCAGCAGCAGTTTCTTCAGGAATCTCTCCACTTGAACCTCGATGAGCAATGTTGTATGGACGAGAAGTTTGTAGAGGCTGTCTGTTGGTGGCATCGGCTGTTTTGCTAGGAAGTGGATCGATTGGCCTTCCAGAACACCCAACAAGGAGCAGCAGGAACACGAGAGGTGCAAAGCCTGTCAAATACAACTTATGAGTCTTACTAGTTTAGATTGGCATCCAACTTATGAGTCTTAACACTATACCATTATCATACATACAAACCGAAATAATATCATCACCATTTGCGCTACAAACTAACCTCTGCCTTCCCATATTTAGAAACCAATTGGCTCATTCAACTAAAAACGCCTACTTATAAATAGTATTAAAAAAACAACCTGACATTGCCCCTACATCAAAAAAATTTGCTAAATTAGGAAACACTCAAGGCATATTTCAACAAAATATCAATTTCCCAGAACTGCAAAACTGAAAAATATCCTCCAAAATCACCAAATTTGCTTCAAACAAATTAAATGCAAGCTTCCCCCGACGCGGAAAGTCCACCTGGACACCCGACTTTTGGTGTCGGCCAGCACTCCTCGAATTCCGGTATTCACCTGGACATCCGGATCGGGGTGTGCCAGTCAAACTAATCAAACAGACCCGGTCACCCAGATAAGCAATTGCCAGGGGCAAACAAGACAGAAAACCAATATCAGAAGCACATCAACCACCACCAAGGAAACTAAGAATCAGACTTTTTACAAAATTCAACAAAACCCAGTAATCATTCACATAAAAACATTGAAAAAATCACGTCAACAATTAAAACTCTAAAAAAAGAGCAAAAAGTTCAATCTTTGGAGCCATTTTTGCAGCTTAATTTCTACAAAATTGAACAAAAAAAAAAAAACAAAAAACAGTAATCATGCATTCACATACAGATATTGAACAAATCACACGATCAACAATTATAACTCTAAAGCAGGAGCAAACATTTCAATCTTTGGAGCCAATTTGCAGCTTAATTTCTACAAAACTGGAAGAGAAAAAAAAACCCAGCAACCATTCACATACAAACATTGAAAAAATCACACCATCACCAGAAAAAAGACTAAAACTGGAGCAAAAAATTAATCTTTGGAGTAAAGTTGGGTTGTTAGCTTACAGTGTGAGGAAGCCATGGCGTTTTCCCAGAGCTTCTCTTTCTCTGACTGGTTCCTAGTGTGCTTCTTAAGCTGCAGAGCTTTTTATTGCTAAGGTGGTGAAATCCTGTGCGACCGAGAGTTTTATAGCAAGGAGGGACCAGAGAATTTGGCGCCGTGGATCTAGCTGTAAACCAAGGATATTCCCTCCAACAGATGAGATTTCACCGGGAAACTGATTTTAAAAATTAATTTATGTATTTATATAAACTAAATTTTTTAGGAGTACGAGGACAAATTCAGTCGTAAATTTATGGATCGATATTGATTGCTTTTGACGGAAATTAATAATTGATGGATGTATCTAATTCATTCAGATTTTAGTCTAAATTAGAGAATCAATTTAAAAAAAAAAATTTAAAATTCGAAATTTACAATGAGTTTTGACAAATTTTTGGTAGTAAGGTAAATATTATTGATGTTCATTATTTTTTTATATCTCGTAGACATAGGATGAGTTTTCATTTCGCCCACTTTTATATTGATCTTTAATTTTTTAGACATAAATATTGACAATTTCATGAATATATACGTATTAGACGGCAATACTGGCTGACTTGTTAGATGGACACGTGGAGTGTGGTGATTGGGTTTTTTGGTCTTTGATAGTTGCCGGTTATCTTACTTAAAACACCAGTTGGCGTTGACTGAATGGTGACTTGTCGTATGCGTCGTGATATATACTTCCGTGTGGAAATTGACAATGGGGAACGGAGAATAGTACATGTGGTTGGTCCAGTAATAGACTTGGGCAATTGGGATCGAAACCGAAACCGAAACCGAAACCGAAACAAATTGGACCGAAAGTTAAAATAACGGTTTAGTTTTGGATCCTAATATTTAGAACCGAACTGCATAATATAAAACAACATTTAATTTAATAATTAGCAAATTAAGTGCTGGAGTTGTAGTTGGTTATTTGGTGGAGTTTATACATGAATTTTGATTTGGATACTTGAATTTTAGTACAGTGGCTATTAGTTGCTGGAATTTGTGTTTCCCCTTTGATTTGGAAACAAACCAAGAGATTTCCTTGAATTTTGTATGGTGGTTATCAATTTGGTTTTACAAACTGTAAATTGTTCTTTCCCGTTTAGGAGCCAAAAACAAACTGAAAAAACTTTTAAAAATAAAATAACAAAAATTGAAAACCCAAACCGAAACAAGCTTGCAAAGTAAGCCCAATTTTTCAACGGGACTATAAGTTAGGTCTAAACTGTAACAAAAAACATTTGAAATTGAACCAAACCAAAATCAAATGGTTCGGTTACTTTGGTTCCCACTGTCAAACCAAACCAAAATCGAAGGATAAAGTTTCCTACTTGTAAAGATTAAGAGAGTTTTAGAACTTTAGTGGAAAGCAAAAAGAGATGAAGAAGAGATCCACAGCATTAAAAACTCAATAAAGAAGAAATAGAACCTTGAGATTTTGTTTAATGGAGTTTAAATGAATGAGATCTAAAGGAAAGGAGAGTAGAAAAAATAGAAGAGAATCCAACTATAAAAAGGAAAGCCCTAACCCAATCAAACTCAAGTTGGACATAGTACAAAGCCAACAAGTTATGAAGTGACCGAAAATTTGTAACAATTTAGGAGGGATCGAAGGTATATATGCTTCACATCCATAAATTCAATGTCCCATGAACTAAGAGGTGCTGAACTTTGGAGGTATCGCAAAATCGACAAGTTACAAGGTGATCAGAAGTCCGCTCGATATCCATTGTCCGAGTGCTTTGGCGGAACTATACTAGTCAAGAGGCAAGCGTTCATGTATATGTCCAAATGCATAAGCGGACTTTATATATTGTAATATACGGAGTAAACATCATCATAAAATTAGAGCTGATTGCTCAAATGAGGGTGCTTATATTTTAATTAACATTCTGCTCATTAAAAAGTTGATATTAGTTACATTTCTAAGGGGTGACGGAGCCACCACCGTCAACCTAATCAGAAAAAGGCCGGACAAATATATGCCGCAAAGGATTGGCGACTTCTTTTCCACCGCCATGCTTAATGAATTCGGCAGGGGAGTGGAAGAGGCCGTGACAGACACACAAAATGTGGACCTCGCCATCACGGGCATACAATATTCCTTCTATCTGTCTTCCCCCTTCTCCAGTGGTTCTCACTGAAACCATATCGTCCCCATCATTCTGGGGAACACTTCCAGTGGAATGTTTGACCCTCTTTGGTGTACTTTGTGAAGGGCCAACCTCTTCTGTAGTGGCCGCTGTTACAGACGTGGCTACTGGTGTAACATTCCTTTGGGAATTCAACGTCTGAACACTTACCGCACCTGCATGGAATTTACACAAGTTCAAATCTTTGACGAAGAAAGTACAATCGAAGAAAACCATACGAATTAGGTGAATGTCACAGGTCAATGAAAGTAAAATCCTCTATTCATTTCAGTCTGAAACTAGCAAGTTGTCTCAAAATGTTATTGTTCTTATTGCTATATATATATATATATATATATATATATAATGACATGACTTGGCTAAAGTCATGAATGCATTCTTGTAAGCAATTGGGATAGAAATTCTAACGAGTGGTTTTAGAGTACTTGGAATTGACTCTGCATAAACAATTTATTTAACAGATGTTGAGGAAAGCTAGAACGATATGCATCATGATATTGTACACAGATTTTGTTGATTTGAAATTGGATAAACATTTATGAGACGTGGATACGAGTTTTATTTAGAGAAATCAATCAATCATGCACGTCCTTTACCCTTTACGTTTCAAGTCAAAAACAAGAAAGAACCGAACTCCAACATATGATCACAGAAACAACATGCAGATAACATAGTTGAGCAAGAATTTGAATATAAAAACCTATATGTTGTCTCAAGGTATCAAGGTTCAAGTTCTCCAGTTTAATTATGTGTCTGTGCGTGTAGATCTATAAATTCCGTATACATCTAAGAAATTTACATATTAGGCTGATAAATCGATGTTTCCACTTCAGAAATTGGCATATTAGGTTGATAAACCGGCTCAGATCTATATCCCAAACCCACCTGAACTGAAGGAAAACTATATTTTTCTGGATCTATTTGAATCTAAAGATATATATCAACAGATTTGCCACAATGAAACTATGAGATTTCTAAATTCTAAGACGAGACTTCTACAAACTAATATTCCAAAAATGAAGAGAGAAGAACAACAAAACTCTTTCATCAAGCATGGTCAAAAAAGTTATAGTCACAATGCTGAACCGGAAGTTAAAAAACCAGCAAGTATATATATACAGGGGAAGGAATTCCTGAACTGTTGATCAAAACTATTACTTTATGGTGAAGAGACCAACTAACTCCGACTCAAAACATGAACTATTTTGTGTGACTTGCAAGTTTCCATAACAGTAAAGTTTTGGAATGTCACTTACACATTATGCGCAACAACACACGTAACCCGTAACTAGGCAACACCACATAAGAAATTTTTTGACTTACTTACTAAAATGGACTGTAAAGATGAAAGTTTTGATTTTGATTAGCTTCTATTGGTCTTATATGTAACGTTGTCAATACGTTGTTGGATAGACTTTTATTTTCATTTCTATCAATACGCAATTAATTAGTTTTATTTTTCCATTTGATTCATTATGCGATACAGTTTGACCTAATTTTTGTCGGCACTCGAATGTTTCCCATATTCGATACTCGTGTTCACCAATCATTGCCATCTTTAACATCGTTGACTAAGCAAAAAAAAACTATAAATTGTCTTTCCTCGTGGGCGCCGTAAATTGTCGTCTTTGCTTCCCTAGTTGTTATATCATTTTGCTACACGTTTCATGATCAATTCGAATGTACCAACTACTGAATCTTATCAATTACCCTAACTACCGAATCGTATCAATAACCCTAACTACGCAATCATATCAATTTTTATCTTTTATTCTTCACATCCAGGATTACGTCCATAACGAACTGTATCGATTACCTAACAACCAATCATATTAATTACCCTAACTTACCAAATCGTATCAATTTTACCCTAAAAACTAAATCGTAACAATTTTATCTAATTTTCTCTTCCACGATCCAATTCCAAAAGTTTTAATCGTGACCTTCCACAGAGAATTAGGGTTTTCTACTTTCATTTTCAATTAGTTAACTAGTTCCTGTTTAATTAGCTATATAACACACCGTGCATATATCTACGAAGTACGAACTAAAACAGAAAATTATATAAAAAAACGCACACACAAACATATACTATCTTTTTATTACAACAGAAAACACCATGCTGCAAAAATCATATGACAAGATCAAACAATCGCACCTTAATCTTAAGCTTAACATTAAAACGGTAAACAAAAGCGAGCATAGACAAATTATCAGATTTGAAGTTTGATGTGTGGCTTACCCTCTGCAGCACGAGACACAGTGAAATATCCCTCCTCTTTGTAATGATAGACTGTATCCAAAGCCCCGGCACCGTTAGAAGCACAAGACGCACTACACATCACCAGATCTGCTGGAGCTGCCGGAGCTGCTAAAGCCCTAGCCACCTCCGGCAAAGCAGCTGGTTGCTGGCTCATCTGCCTCTGAGCTATCTTCTGTTTGGTCTCCGGACTTCTCAAGGCTAGAACGTCCTTGTGCCTGATCGCCAACCTGGACTCTGATGGAAGAGAGCTTGCCCTTGGAAGCCGTATAGCACGAATCGGAGCAGCAGCCATCTGCGGCGCCTTTTGGGTTTCTTGAAGCCTCAAGACCCTGGCCTCCGTGGAGGACCGGTCGAGAGGGTTTTGGTTGGAATTATCGGTGTAAATCCCGCTGAGAGAGATTTCCAGGTTGAGGTCCGGGATTTGGGAATCGACGGTGTTGTTTTGAATGTTGGCGTTGTTGGGTTGAGAAAGGTTGTCTTTGTTTGCGGCGGCCATTGCAGACAGGAACTGAGCAGATTGGACTGAAAAACGATTTGTATAAGCTTCTTCTGCAGCAGAAAAAAAAAGCTAAAGTTAGGGCAAAACATGAAAATTTTCATTGCATGGTTTTTGACAGGATAAATTATAAGTACAGAAAACACAATGAAAAATGTAGTTTGTGACCCAATTTTTGAAACTGCATGCAGCAAGAAAATGAAGAAGAATGAGAAATTCAAAAACCCAGTAACCCCAAAATTTAATCTTTGACCCAATTTTTAAAACCCAGAAACGGTTACATGGGATTTTAAAGTTACCATAAAAAATTCAATCTTTAACCGGAAGTTTTAGAAAATGAGAGAGAGAGAGAGAGAGAGAGAGAGAGGGAGATGAAGCAAACCCAGAAAGGATTAGATGGGTTTTTGAAAATACCATTAAGAATTAGAAAAGAAAAAAGAGACAACCACACATACATACATACATATATATATATATAGATCTAGAGAGAGAGAGAGAGAGAGAGAGAGAGGGGAAAAAAACCCAGAAAGGCAGGCTTACAAGGGTTTTGTGACAAGACTGATGCTCCTGCAACCAACTATTCTCTCTCTCTCTCTGTGCAAATACAGAAATGCAAACTGATGTGTGAAATTTGGAGCTGGGTAGGGGAGATATATATTGGAAATCGGTGAGGAAAAGGGTTTGAAGGTGTTACAGTTGCTGCATTTCTCAATCCCCACGTGGTTACAAGAGAGCACAGTGTTGTAATTAAGGAGAATGGTTCACATTTTCTACGGTTACTCTTTTCATCTCTCTCTCTCTCTCTCTCTCTCATCAGCATTTGCAATTTGCAGCTCCATGACTTTGCTCCTTTCCCACCACCTGTGACTCATCTTAGCTGTTTCTGCGTTTTCCTCTTTCTCTTATGGATTTTTGTTTGCAATTGTGAGGAAAAATGAGGACAATTTTGAAAACGTTCAGGATTATTGCCAGGGCGACTATAGTTTTTGGGAGTAAGATTTTCTCCCCTCCTATTACCATCTCCTTCCATCCCCTCCTCTTACCATCTCCTTCCATCCCCTCCTCTCATACTCTTCTTTCTGTCTTATTCTCTATATAAGAAAAATTTAAAACAAGACGTAGACGTGACATAATCGCAACCGTTTAAATAGGAGGGGATAGAAGGGGAGAGAGATAGGAGGGGAGAGAATTCTACTTTTTTTTTTAGGGGCTTTTAGATCCAGGTCCAAAAACATGATTTTTAGGAGTGAGTCCAATTACCTAATTATATATATTTATTTTTTTAGTGCTCATTTTATATTTTCTAAAAATATTAAAAATCAATTAAAATCTTCTAATATTATGCATTTTCAACCCCAAAAAAATATAATTAATATCATATAACAAAAAAAATAATATATTGACATAAATCTATTTGCAAATCATTCTACCCTTACTCAAGTAACAAATATATGAATGTATATTATACCCATAAGTAAGATATGAAACCTAAATATACTAATAACAGTTCCCACAAATTAGAGTATTCGTGACAACACTTTAACTTCAACGTGTTTTATAAATTTATGACAAGAGCACTTCTAGAAAAGCACTCATGAACAGAAGTTGTTTCTAGAGAAGCAATCCCAAACATGATCTAACCTTGTTATTATGAGAAACTTTGTATATTATTTCGTAAGTTTACTAATTTGCGTTTTATCGTCGATAAGCTTAATTTGTTATGAACTAGGATATAGATCAAGTTGTTATAACATGAGTGAATTGGTAATAACACGTGAAAGTAAGACAATCTAAGAGTAAGCAGCTGAAAATGATAAAGTTTCCTAATTGTATCATTATGAGAGTTTTAAAACAATAGTGGAAAGAAAAAAGAAAGGAAGACGAGATACACAACATTAAAAACTCAATCAAGAAGAAATAGAACCTTGAGATTTTGTTTGAAGGAGTTTAAATGAATGAGATCTGAAGGAAAGAAGAGTAGAAAAAATAGAAGAGATTCCAACTATAAAAAGGAAAGTCCTAATCTAAAAAAACTCAAGTTGGACATAGTACAAAGCCAACAGGTTATGAAGAGATCGAAAATCTGTAACAAGTTAGAAGTGACCGAAGGTATATATGCTTGACATCCATCAATTCAATGTCACACGAACTAAGGTGTGCTGAATTTTGGAGCTATTGCAATATCAACAAGTTACAAGGTGATCAGAAGTCTGCTCAACATCCATTGTCAGTGCTTTGGCGGAACTATACTAATCAAGAGGCAAGAGTTTAATTATGTATATACATGTTCAAATGCATAAGCTTCAACATCCACACTTACACAAATTACAAAGGACTATATATCTGGTAACGGAGCAAACATCATCATAAATTAGAGCTAATTGCTCATATGAGGGTTTTTAATATTTTAATTAACATCCTGTTGGATAGAAAATTGATGTCAATTACATTCCTAAGGGGTGACAACCACCATCATCAACCTAATCAGAAGAAGGGCGGACAATTATATGTTTCAAAGGATTCGCCACTTCCTTTCCACCGCCATGCTTAATGAATTCGGCAGGTGAGTGGTAAAGGCCATGGCAAGCGCACAGAATGTGGACCTGGCCATTGCGAGCATAAAGAATTCCTTCTATCTGTCTTCCCCCTTCTCCGGCGGTTCTCACTGAAACCATTTCGTCCCCATCATTCTGGGGAACACTTCCAGGGGAATGTTTGACCCTCTTTGAGGGATTTTCAGGTGTACTTTGTGAAGGGCCAGCCTGTTTTGTAGTGGTCGGTGTTGCAGAGGAGGCTATTGGTGTAACATCCCTTTGGGAATGCAACGTCTGAACACTTATCGCACCTGCATGGAATTTACACAGTTCAAATCTTTGACGAAGAAAGTACAATCGAAGAAAACCATACGAAGATGAATATCACAGGTCAAAGAAAGTCAAATCCTCTGTACATTTGAATCTGAAACTAGCAAGTGGTCTCAAAATGTTATTGCTCTTGTTGCTATATAAAATGACATACTTGCTAAAGTCATGAATGCATTATTGTAAGCAATTGAGATACAAATTCTACCGAGTGGTTTTAGGGTACTTGGAATTGACTCTGCAAAAACAATTTATTTAGCAGACGTTGAGGAAAGCTAGAACGATATGCATCATGATATTGTACACAGATTTAATTTGTTAATTTGAAATTGGATAAACATTTATGAGACGTGGATACAAGTTTTATTAAGAGAAATCAATCAATCATACACGTCCTTTACCCTTTACGCTTCAAGTCAAAAACAAGAAAGAACCGAACTTCAACATATGATCACAGAAACAACATGCAGATAACATAGTTGAACAAGAATTTGAATATAAAAACTATATGTTCTCTCAAGGTATCAAGGTTCAAGGTTCTCCAATTTATGCGACTGTGCGTGTAGATCGATAAATTATGTATACTTCTAACAAATTTACATATTAGGATGATAAACCGACTAAGATCTATATCGCAACCCCGCCTTAACTGAAGGAATGGAAACTATATTTTTCTGGATCTATTCGAATCTAAAGATATCAATAGCTTTGGCACCATGAAACTTTGAGATTTCTAAGACGAGACTGCTACAAATTAATATTCCAAAATGAAGAGAGCAGAACAACAAAACTCTTTTATCAAGTACGGTCAGAAAAGTTATAGTCACAATGGTGAATGGAAGGTAACAGGAAGTTAAAAAACCAGCAAGTATGTATAGGGGAAGAAATTCCTAAATTGTTGATCAAAACTATTACTTTATGGTCAAGAGACCAACTAACTCCGACTCAAAACATGAATTATTTTGTATGATTTGTAAGTTTCATAACAGTAAAGTTTTGGAATGTCACTTGCACTAATACATGTAACCCGTAACTAGGCAACAGTACATTAGAATTTTTCTTGAATTAATTGCTAAAATGGACTGTAAAGATGAAAATTTTGATTTTGATTAGTTTCTATATTGGGCTTATATGTAACGTTGTTATATTATTTTGTCTATACGTTGTCGGATAGACTTTTACTTAATATGTTTCAATATGCAATTAATTAGTTTTCTTTTTCCATTTGGTTCATCGTGGGCCGGATACGGTCTAACCTAATTTTTGTCGGCACTCGAATGTTTCCCATATTCAATACTCGTGTTCACCAATCATCGCGATCTTTAACATCGTTGACTAAGCAAAAGAAACCTAGCTAGATCATCTTTCCTCGTGGACGCCGTAAATTCTCTTGTCGTTATATCACTTTGCTACATGTTTCATGACTGATTTGAATGTACCAACCACTGAATCGTATCAATTACCCTAACGACCAAATGCTATCAATTACTCTAACTACCGAATCATATCAATTACCCTAACTACCCAATCATATCAATTTTCCCCTAACGAACTGTATCAATTACCCTAGAAAAATGCTAGGCAGACCAAATTTATAGACCATTTTTGTCGACCACATAATGTGGCGGTTGATGTTTGGACTCCTTTTTTAATGGTGTAGATAAGGAGTCCAAACATCAACCACCAAATCATATTGTCTACAAAAAATGGTCTAAATTTTCTCTTTATAGCATCACTCATTACTCTTACAATTACCCTAACTTACCGAATCGTATCAATTTTACCCTAACAACCAAATCGTATCAGTTTTACCTAATGCCCGAATGGTATCAATAACCCTATAACTACCGATTCGAATTAATTGCATGCACAACATTCTCTTCCATGAACCAATTCCAATACTTTCAATCGAGACCTTCCAAAGACAAATAGGGTTTTCTACTTTCATGTTCAACTAGTTAACCAGCTCGTCCTTTAGCTACCTAGCACACCGTGGATATATCTTTGAACCAAACAGAAAATCATATAAAAACACACACACACAAACATATACTATCTTTTTGCTTCAACAAAAAACATGCAAAAATCGTATGACAAGATCAAACAATCACAACTTAATCTCAGGCTAAACATTAAAAC